GACAGCTATTCCGTAAACTGCGAGGCGGAAAGCCCTACTTTCTCAAGATATCCGATAAAAATAATGAAAATATTATTCTTGCACATGAACATGTAGTATACAGAATGCAGTCGCGAATTGCAATAAAACATGTATCAACGTTGGAGAGGTGCCGGGAACGCTTATAATTTTCGTGGACTCAACTTTTCCTGACGTGCACGGAGGACAGAATCCTGTATCAGCTTAACTAAATTTTACGTTGTTTAATTTTCTGTCTTGTTTAAGGAAAAATTAACCTAAGTACACAATAATATCTTTAAACTGTAAAAATATCTTGAATTATGAATGATGAACATACAAAATTTCAAGTATCAGTGTTCCTTAGTTTCATGTGTAAAAAACAGCAAAGAAAATTAAGCAACGTCTGGTGTGGTTGGGAAGATTCTGGTTGAATATTTTCAGTTGATACATTATGTTTCTGAAATTCCATTTTTTGTTTTGTTTTTTAAATGAGAACATCTGTTTCGTTTGTAGTTTAAAGGAAAACGATCATTAGTTTCACACATCGTTCTATCGTCACAAAGGCGGCCTGTTGAAGTGCTGAAGTTAATTTCTAGGCAACTTTAGTTGAAAAACCAATTACTTAAAATTTAGGAATATGCAAAGATGATATCAGCGTCAGCAGACCAGTACTGTCATCAGAAGGAAGAACGCAGTATGAACATTCGGTAGTTGCCAAATTGATCTCGATAAAATTTTTATTTTGAGGGACGTTATGGATACTTTTCCTCAAAATTTTCGGGAACTTCGGTTGAAATTCCGAACAAAATTATCTGAAAAATTGGACCTAAAATACTTACAAACTTTTCCCAAAAATTCGGAATTTAAGGAAGAAAATTAGGTAACGCATGAAGGGCCCATACGGCGTTTTTCCTTAGCACGGATGAGTAGGTCACAGATCTGTTCATCATATTACTTTAAATAAAGAAAAAGCAAATGTTTTTCTTTTCTCATAGAGCGTAAAAACTGTATCAAGACATCTCAAAATCAAGCTTGATGCGAGAAAACACGCCGGGAAAAGCTCAGTATTTCAATATAGGATGATTTAAAATAAATAACGAAAATGCATCCTACAGATTTGCTCGCGCTTTTAAATGCAGTTACATTTTGCGGTCGGACCGCGAGTCCCCGCAATTAGTTTGTGAACCTATGGTTTTCCCTGCACTTTAATCTGTAGAAATTAGTTGGGAGATCTGCGGTTTTTTGTGATTTATTTTACGTACCGCACTTTAGTTTTGGTTTTTTCCGCGGTTAATTAGTGCACGTGCTTAATTATTTCATGAGAAACTTTCCAGCGGTTGCCTTTTATGTATATGAACAGTACTCCCACATTAGATGTTGTCATTCAGCTATTTTCAGCAATTTATTTACAGAAAGCATTCATGTAGGATGTCGATGGCTAATTTTAAAAAAAGTGAAACTCCAATTGCGACGTTGCAAGTCTCGGCTCTCGCGTTTTATTTTTTTCTGAAATAAAACTAAAAGTTTCTCTAGATTATTTTTTTGGTGAATTTACGTCATCCATGAAAATAAATTGACGGTGTATACTAAATACAAAACTTATGTGTCTCAATTGCAGTGTAAATATGGCTGAAGAACGTTTCCGCACACTTTTTTGGAAATTGCTGAAGCAAATTAATATTTGACAACGTTGAACTTGTCTCAATAAGTTTACCAGATTTACTTTGCCTGTAGCTTTTGTATGTCCAAATTGAATTGGGGATTTTCGTATTTTTGGAAGCTATCCGAGAAGTGTGGATCTCAGATAAAGGTGATAAGGATGATGAAAAACCAGACGGATATTTTGATATCGACGATCTCGATGAAGAAATAGGGTGATTTTTTTAAACTCAGCTTTATTTCCGATTATGTTTCATTTTCTCAAGGTATGCTGATCAAAAGGTCTCCTTGCAACTGTGCGTGGTTTCTTTAGAATGAGTGGAAAACAAATTTTCAGAAAATTTCAATGAAGGACTTCTTGGTTTTCTTTTAAAAGGGGTCATTAAAGCGGGGACTTAGGTGCACCCAATGTGTACGAACCTTAGGGGTACCAACGTAACGCTCTTTAACTTGGCAGGAACACTTGGAACGTCGCAATGAATTTAGGTATGTCAATTATAAATTCGATTCTCATCGGGACAACTGGAATTATGGTCGACGCAAGGGAAATCTGGCCGTTGTAGATGGCATTCCGCTTTTTTCGAAGAAATGCGGGATCCTGTGTGATAATTTTGATGATTATCGAAGGAGAAACACAAACGAATCCAAACTATGTGCTGCGACTCGAACACTAAAAATAATGAAAACCCCCGAGAAAGCAAACCGTCTACCGAATTTCTTCGTTACTTAAAATTCCAATTTTAAATTAACGCTTTTATATTATTTATTAAGTTGTTTTTTCACTCAGTTTAGTAATCTAAATAGAGGAGGCAAAAAAGGTCTTCTGTTACTGCCTCTGGCTAACATGAAATCTCCCGAAAAGACGACTCTCGGTGAAAGTTTTGACTCAAACTTTCATGGTTTTGGCACCACAGCTTCGCTGCGTTTACTTTGTTCAGCGATATTTAAATATTGCATTACTTTAAAGCATAATATTAATAACGTATGCCAGAACATATCCGATGTAAACTGCAAAAGTTATTAACTCGATTTCTAACTTGCGTTGTCCACAAAGCTTGCCTCTCAGTACATTACGCACAACTGTTCGAGCCTTTTCGAAACTTTATATGTTAAAGTTTAACGTGATGTGCATGTTGCGAAGAAATTTTGCGGACAGCACAATTCGCAAATCTTTGAATGGATAGCTATTACAGTACGGATGATGTTTTCTGGCCTACCTCAACAATTGAAGGCGAAATTGCAATGTGCGTAACCTAGGAACCCTCCTCCTATCAATTTACGACTCAAAAGAATATAAAAATACATTCTCATTGTACATAGATCATGGCAGGCACATTTGAAATTCCCAACCATTTCAACTCATGAGCGAGAGAGTATTACTCTTTCCGTCGTATAATACAGATATCTTGTTCTCAAGAAAATCAAGGTTAACTAGAATCAAATCAGGCATTGATCTTGGTTTTAATACGTTTTGCAATTTTAAAATGGAGTAAAACCACCAATTTTTAATTTTTTTCAATTTTTTTCCGGAATACTAAAAGGGGGGGGGGGGTCTTGTTGCAAAATTTTCGAAGAAGGCTCCCTGGACCCCCCCCCCCTTCCTTTTGAAGATGTCTCTCGACAATTCCACCTTCGCAAAGCCAAATGGCTTCCCTTGAATTGTATCTGGATCCGCCACTGAAATTCCCAATTTCTTCGTTTCCCGCACGAGGTAACGTATCTTTATTCCACGGTTGCAACATTGGCTCAAACAATACGATTTTTTACAAGTATGTACTCGGGCACTTTTTGTCCTGATCGATTTTTGCGTGAGATCAGATAATGTTCATAATTTCTGCTGTATAAATTCAATATAAGAGAGGTAATTAGGCAACATCGAAATGCACTTACGTTCTTTCGTGAGAGATACAACGATTTTACCCTGGTATACTCTGTATCCCTTAACTTTCCAGCACGGAAAACTGCGGGGCTTGGAAGACAAAGCGCCTACGTGCAGTTTTTGGAAAAATTGAGTTATAAATGATTTCAATTAAAATATTCTCAATGCATATTCTGTGAAAAATTCACTCCAAAACTCCAATTTTCAAGCACCAAAAAGTCAATTTGAACTTTTTTCCGCTTTAAGGATCCGTGTAATTTCGAAACTTCAAACGCGTATTCCTCGAAATAGCAAAAACTGCATTTACGCGCCTTGTCCTCCAAGCACCTTAAATGGACCGCGTTTAACAGAAAGTATAACCAAGCCACATTAGCTATCACCAAATTTAACGAAGCAAATTTAATTGTTCACAAAAAAACGTTTGTGCGGATTTTCCTTTTGAATTTGAATGAATTTGCGTCGTACTATGCAGAAAATTTACTAAAATTTGCAAACAAATCCGCACCACCATTTTCACGAAAAAAAAAAATTGCCCACTCACATTTGGCAATAGCTGATGTCTGCCGTGCTCAGCAAGAACAACGTAAACTCATCAAGACTTTCCCGCGTTTTTTGGAACTTAATCACTCTGTGAAATAAAAACTATTTTATCCATGCACCTCAAATTTTCAGGTTAATTTCTTGCATGAAAGTATATGCGAAAGAATTCTGCAAAAAACCGTCCCAAGGTACACAAGTTTTTTTGCTATACACATTATCTCCAAAAAATTTAAAATGACGCTCACGGTGTTTTTGCGTTGCACTACAGATCGTCATCCCTCCGTGGTAAGGGCGTATATACATAGATTTTTACATGAGTCCTGGAAAGCACGAAGTTATATAGACAGCAGGGTTCACGTGGAAACCAAGATACGTTCTTACGTCACACAGTGGATAGAGTCAATTAGAGAGGTCGGACATTAAATTTTGACTAAAAACTGCAAATTTTTATGTTTCTTTCGTCACATTTTAAATTTTAAGGGGTGCTTCGAGCAGAAAATTTCACGAGAAAACCATTAGCACCACTTGGATTACATTTCGCAATAAGGAACCACTATTTCTGGCCCATTTTAGAAACAACATACATGCCATTGGTTTTCCTATGCTGATATGTGCTTTTATGAGAGACCCATTGATAGTGGTTCCTTATTGCAAAATGTAATTCACTCATAGAACCTCAAAGTTTTGAATAAACGGAGCTCTTAGCCTTTAAAGTTTCCAAATTTTATCCGACCTCTCCTATTGGCTCGATCCACTGTGGTCAGAGAGGCGACGAGATGTGGCTTTGGTTCCTTTCTGCTCAACGCGGACCGAACACCGGTCTCCTGAGGGAGAAACCGCGTAAATTATAATGCAGATCCGCGGCAGATCCGCGGTTTCACCCAGAGACGCGAGTCGACGGCAATGTGGTGGTTGGACTTACCTGTTGCTGTGTGCCCGGTGTGACAGCGGCCGCGGCGCGGGTGCACGGGGATCGCGCTTCGGTATCGTCGGGTTCGGACCTGTTGCTGCGAGTCGGGCGAGTCGGGTTCGAGTGGCGGAGTCGCGGGCCGACGGCGAGCAGGAGGGCCGGCACCTGGGGGAGGGCCTCCTGCGCCTGTCACGCCGCGGACGCAACCCGCCGCGCAGCCCGCACCCACGCCGCGGGTCCACCCACTCACGTGGTCAGTTACGCAGTTAGGCAATTCCACTTCCTTGGATTTGTTTCCTTCGCCTCCTCCTCCTCCTCCTCCTCCTCGATCCGCGGCACGGTCACGGCATTTGACACTCTGCCGAATCCGAGATCCGCGCCTAAAAAATGAGGGGTCGGCGCGTGGGTGTACGGCTAAATCGGGAGGGTGGTTCTTGGGGGTGGTCGGGACGGGTCTAATTATAAGGTTGCCTTTTTAAGCTCTTGCGTGCTTCGGGGATTTGCGATTTTAGTGATTTTTCGAATACGTAAAGTAGAGCATTTGCAGGAGTTTAAAATTGGATAAATTTCGTGTTTTCACGGCATTTGACACTCTGCCGAATCCGAGATCCGCCTGAAAAATGAGAGGTTAGCGCGTGGGTGGATGACCGAATCAGGAGGGCGGTTCTTGGGGTTGGTCGAGACGAATAATTTACGGTTGTATTTTTAAGCTCTTACATGCTTCGGGGATTTGCTATTTTAGTGCTTTTTCGAATACGTAAAGTGGAGCATTTGCAGGTGTTTAAAATTTGATGATTTTTGTGTTCAAGTGGAAACTGCTGAGTGACCTGAGCATGAGGATACCCTAGGCTTAGAAATTGAACAATTATTGAAGGAGGTATGAAGAAATAACCTAATCTGCAAAAATGCATGCGTTTAGATGGGAAATGCCGCCCGATGACGTCTGTACGCGGTGCCTTTTCTCTTTTTTAAACCTATTTTTTCAGAGTTTCCCATTTCAGAAAAAAATTATAAAAAATACTGCAAACTCAGCTTATTTAACATTTTCAGACAAGGCAATAAAAAATGTGCGTGCGAATTCTCCATTCCGCGGGGACGTATTTCGGTCAAACAGAACAATGTGTATCAAGAATTGAGCCCTGTTATACATATATTCTTATGGGTCTCAGGGTTCATGCCTTAATGCACATAGTTCCGTTTGGCAGAGAAACGTCCAATTGGCTTTCTCTGAAACGAACTTTCAAGCTCAAAAAAAGCTCTGAAAGGTTGGGCTGTAATAGAAGGGATTGCACATCCCATGCCGGAAGTTCACCTCTGTATCCAATCAAACTCTCAGTGCGTAGATAGGAAGCATATGGAGCAAATGGGAGCAAAGGAGGGTTATCACTTAGTGTGGGGATGCCAAAAGATGCCATAATGTTTGACTGATTGAGAAGAAAAACGTTCAAAATTATATGCCAAAATGTATTTTTGATGCTTTTCATACTTATTGTGACAAAGCTATTTCCAAGTCATTGGAATTGAAAATTGAACAGACTTTTATGATGCAATTCGTGCTTCAGCGTTGCGCTCAGTAATATTCAGAATTCGTACGTCCATGAAGAAATGTGCTAATGACTCCTCTCATTAGTCGTCATCCGGGTGAACATCCTCGAAAAGATGTCCCGATGTGACGTATTCTTGGATGCATGCGTCGTCTATTCCAAACTTGACGATTTGATTGCCTCCATTGAAGTCGGACCAGGTATTCACTGCCAGCCAATATTTTTCGCCATTTTCCTCTCCCCAACCGATTACCTTTGCGTGTTTCCATAATGTGGCTTCTGTTGCACCTTCTCTGACATGATAAATTCCTAAAGGCAGGGAAAAAAGTTTTCATCGTCAAAAAGTAGCGTCAAAACCTTTTTCGCGAAGTCTATGGAGAATTTACATTACGAATATCAATTATACTTGTTCAAGGCAAGATGTGGCACAGTTATGCTGCAGTTTTCATCATACTCTACATTGCAAACTAAAATGTATTCAATTCATTTATGTAAATGATCACTTGAAGGCGATACAATTTTAAAGTACCTCTCATAAAGAACCATAAAAACCCTTAATCTTTAAATATCTAAAGGTATAAATTCTCAAAAGTCTATTAATATGTTTACATAATGGTGATTGTGATATTTTTTAGGGAGCAAATTTTACCCAACTTAATTTTTACTCACCACTTTTGTACTCAAAGAAGTCATCGTAAAGAGTGAAGCCAACCGCAATAGGACCACGCGCCATGATCTCGCTCTTCATTGCTGCTTCATTGTTTTCCGGTAAAAAGTACCAATCTTCGACTAGACGGGAAAAACAAAGGAAAATACATTAGTTTTCGAGATACTTGGAACAAAATCAGTCCTGCAAGGAATGAGTGATAAACAGAAGTTCTTAATTGAAAATGATAATTAAATCCAACAACGTACAAACGCGTGTTTAGACATGTTTATATTTTGCATTTACATTCGCCCAAGTAAACCATAAGATATTTGTATCATACTCACATTGGACCTATTATTAGGTTTGTAATCGAGTTGGAACAATATTGAATCTATATATTACATGTACTGCTTTTCACCCGTTGTAGTAAGTGAAGGCGCGAAAATATTCATTTGATTAAAGTAAGAGTATGAACGTTGTGTATTTAAATAAACACACGTTTGTGTACATAAATTGCGAAACAAAATGCCGAATCGAACAGAGATTATGACACAATTTGAGGTTTAAAGCTTAAAAAAAAATAATTCCTAAAAAACTGCTTACTTTTTGCTCTTTCCACGTTTTTGGCTCAAAATTATTCCATTGAAATGTAACTCAACGCCGTTTTTTATCACAACATCATGATAGAGGCCGCTTAAAACTATTTCACCATATAGCTATGGTGATCGTTTCCATCAAAAACTCAAATTCTAAGTTTTTGAGTCGATTTGACAAAAATCACCTGCAAAATTTCCGCATTGAAACTGAACATTTCTATTCTCTGAATGGCCACATACTTATGTTAGACCTCGATTACCCGATATGAACTTTCCACTGACGTCAACAAAATTTCAGAAACTCTATTGCTGAAAAAACTTTCGATGCAAAAAACTTACCGCTTATCATTGTGTCGTTTTGGATGGTTTTCGAATGGTAATTTTTATTGGTGCACTTTGAAGTACATTTGTTCTGCTTCACCTTTGAGTATGCATACTTGCATTCCTCCAACTCATCATTTTTTCCTAAGCCCAACTGGTCGGTGGAGACTTTTTTCTCCATTCCAAGGTATTTTCCCAATGTATGCCTACATGGTTTGTAAGAGTACGGCTGACACCCCTATATTGAAAAGAAAAACTCAGTCAAATAAAAAACACAAGAGACTGCTGCAAATGAAGAAACAAAAACAGACTAAATCGAGAATAAACACCAAGAGCCACATAAAGTATGAACGAAATTAAAATATCATGAAAAAGAGAAACTCGAACCGTCAAACTGCCAACTGCATGATATTTTAAGGTGAATCTTCAGCTATAGTTCCAAAAAAAACTCACCACATCGCGTTGCTGAAATCTGGCTCCGAAATCCGTGATAATTTAAATATTGCAACAGATATATTAAATTCTAAGACTCATAAGTTATAGCAGCATATGTCTGGAATGTTTAAAACCAAACACGAGCCTTGTAATTTTAATAATAAAGTCAAAGACCGGATCTCAGTTTCTCTTATGTGATGCTTGTGAGTGCGAGAGAAATAAGTTCATGGTAGGAGAGAGATGTCTGCAACTGCTGAGAGAGATCACTCGTGATTGGTCAGTGGTCACACCGACGTCATTTTGCTTAACCGTACTTTAGAAAAATGTCTTTGCTAGAACTTATTATTAACTTATAAATTTTCGGTTTTAACAGAAATTCCTTTAATTTTCAAATATAAGCTCAAGGGAGCACGTCAAGCTGTACAAACTCTGAATGACGTGACCCTCAAAATCAAAACACAGCGGTGGCGCCTCCTGCGCGGAGAAATTTCATATTTACCGGAGCTGTAGATAAACCTTAAAATCGATTATGATTTTTTCTTCTTTTTTTTCTACCGAGAATCATTTTATCCTACGCATTGGTACAGTGCCTGATTTTTAAAAAAATGTTTTCTCCTTCATAGGAGCGAATGCAACCTACAAAAACTTATTCTGAGACTGAATGAAATAAAAAAAAAAAAAAAAAAAAAAAAAAAAAATCACCATTTGTCCGGTTCTTAATGGCTATAACTTTGCCTTAACCGTTTTTTTTTTTTTTTTTTTTTTTTTTTTTTTTTTTTTTTTTTGGAGAATCAGCCACAATATCACGATTCTGTGTGGTTGACCCTTTGAAAAATTGAAAAAATACTTACAACAGATGAGCCGTAATCTCCACCGGTAGGTATTCCCCACTCAGTATAAATCCAGGACATAGCAATATAGGCACTGTCCTTGCATCTTTCAGCACAACCCATGAGGAAGTCGGCAGACAATTGTTTCTTCTCTTCGCCTCCCGTCTGAATGCAATATTTGTCAGAGAGAATCGAAGAGACAATCGATGGCTGCGCAATACAATTAATTTGAAATTAGAGTCAATAGTTAAAAATATTAAGAATGTAAACTTTTTCAAACTTCTAGAAAAATTCCAAAAAGCCTCTTACGTAAATGCTCAATTTCCATCAACGGCTTTGACAGTGGTGTGGCGTGCTTTGCGATATACTATTGATCTGCCATTTAAATCTATGGAAACATATTGATGAGCAAAGTATTCGCAACGAAGACCTTTATAATCGATTCTTTACTATAGCTTCAAATGGGGAAATGTCGATAAACGATCATTCACACCTCGCCACTAGGCTTTGAAAAGTTGGTGGAGAAAATTCAAGAAGCTAAGAGAATCCTATGGATTTTTATGAAAACGACAACTTACCGCATCAGTATCACAAGCACCTTCATCCACAGCTTTGCTGAGTTGGTCAGCACATTCTGGGAACTCTTTTCGGAGGTCGAATTCTTTCGGTAGACTTCTCGGCCATTTAGGATCGTGCGTTTTCACCAAAATATCGTTTTTCACTGATGGACCAAGGTATTGTTTCATTTTTTCTGTGAGTATTTCCGGGCGTGTGACTTTGAACTGAAAAAGAAGCAAGGAAGAGACACCTTGATAATCCAAAATTTGGCTAAATCTGAAAATGTATTTCCTCGGTAAAACTGAGCCAAGGTAAAGCCAAGGTCCAAGTCCAACCATGGACGTTATCTTTTCATTCCTGCAAAGATTTTAATTTTAAAAAAGTTTTGTCAAGTTGTCGAGGTCGCAATAAGTTGAATTTTATCTTGCAATAAATAACTACTACTTCTTGTTCATCAATAATCTAAACAAGAATAATTAATGACATTTATGATGTTTCAAAAATGGGCCAGATATAGTTTTTCCTTCTTGTATAAAATGCGGTTCAGTTATAAATATTTAAATTATTCATCTTGTGATTAACTTGACTGCGGCAAAATATTGCATCAACATTACAATAACATGAATTGTTGCCGGTCTAAGCGACTAATTATCAACTCACCGTTGCAGTTTGACGTCGCATGCGTTGTGGCACACCAACTCCCATGTGAACGAGGGCCAGGCTGAAAAGCGTGATTGTCAAAATCCGCAACATTTTTAATCGAAGTCTTCGTCGGAACAAACGTAAGATTCTGATTTAGGTGAAATTATAACTGAAAAAGAGATCAAAGAAGTGAACATGAAAAAAAAAACGGAAAAAAAGGAGTATGTTTATACATGGAGATAATTTGAAATTTTCTCCCTAATTTAGTTTTTCGATGATAGTTTGAAGAAGAGTTTCTAACAACAAAGAACGCCAATTCCTGTCCTTCTACTTGAAGTCGGAGATTCTAAATGTGCTCATGTGATTAAACTGGAAAATTAAAATGCTGAAAACTGTCTAGGTGGTCGGTTGGCCGATGTTTAGATTATTATTTTCTTATTTTGTCAGTTTTAGAGAAACCAATAATTTTTCTTATTGAATGCAAGGAAAGAACCGGCTCACAGAATCGCGATCTCCTTTTGAAGTACCGAAATAAGTTTGAGAATCTACCTTTAGTGTTGTCTGGGTGCCTCTGTGAAATAAGTCTGAGGGAGCTGAAAATCAATGAAGCGATTCAGTTCACTTACTTCGACGTCCAGTAAAAGCACTAAAAGCTCCGATAACGCCGAAGTTTAGGTTCGATAATATTGTGACGTACTTTTACTCAGGCTCGTAATTTTTATACCATTGTTTCAGATAAATTTTGTAAAAGATTCCATTCTAATCAGTAGTTGCATGTAGCTTCCCTCTTGAAAGGAAAATCGGATGTTCATCCTCAAGAGGAGCGCTTGACATATTTGCAGCATCACATAATCACGATGCTATCATGATCAAAATAATTGAAGTGATAACACTGACGATCGAGCATGTTTTAAACTTAGAGTTGCAAGAGTTGTTATTGTTGGCATTGATTTTTGTAGCGTACCTACACTTTTCATTTTATCATCCCTCTTGAAATGCTGATTCATTCCTATGTAATGTCTGGACGGAAAATACTTTTGAGGGACTCAAGTCCTCTCACCCGTCTCATCGTTCCTATTTTTTCATGAATTGTTTCTTATCTATCTTGAAGTTGACGAAAGTAACAGGGAATATCGCTGCTTGATGCTTTGATATCTTAACTGCTCTAAGAGATCTTCGAAGGCACACTTGCGATTAAAATTGATGTTCAGCTTGCAGTATCACTCACGCTGAACCCACATATCGACGGTGAAATTCCCAAACCACGTATCTCGGTTTGCAACGTTGCAGACTTACTGTCATACTTTATTTTTTGAAAGAAAAACCACTCAACGTACATTCCCTAAAATATCTGTGATTTTTCTGCTCTGTGCGAAGAAAATTCTGTGAAAACTACACGGGAAGATGTTGATTCGCTTCCAGAAAAAAATTAATAATAGGAGCGGAGATTTCTAAACCCCGCAAACGAGATACGTGGTTTGGGAGTTCCACCGTCGATATACTCGCACATTGCCTGCTGGGAGCAGTGGCGTGTCGTGTTTTGCGATATATCGATTGATTTGTCATTTAATCCTATGTAAAAGGATCGATAAACAGGGTGCTCGCAACGAACACCTTAAAACCCGATTTTTTACCACAGCTTCAAATGGGGAAATATCGATAATCGACAATTCACGCCTCGTCACTGATTGTGGGGACATGGGTTTTCCACGATCTGCATGAGAAATATGCATTTTTTTAAAGCTACCCGCTTCAAAAACGATACAGCGGCACATGTGAGCATTTCGTAAGAGGCAGTAGTCGTTCCATCCAAACCTTGCGCACTAGGATGCCACACAATATTCAACATGGCTGACGCCTCCGCAAGCAAATCGTGAAGAAGCGCCAAGGTCTTTATCAACGCAAGGAAAATATATAAATATAAATACGCCAGTTGATAAAATCTCTTCTCCTCTTTTGGCGTGTTGGCGTTGGCCGTTGGCGATGTTGAATGTTGCGAAGCATCCCGATGCGCAAGGATTGGATGGAACGGCTTCTCTTACGAAATACTCACTTTTGCCGTAGGATCGATTTTAAAGCGGGCAGCTCAAAAAACGCGTATTCCTCCCGCAGATTGTGAAGTTAGGAGTGATTGTCAGACTTTCTGGATACGTTCGTTGTGATTTTGTAGCCATTTTTTGTAAGAATTGTTCCTCTTTTGGCTCTAGCTGACGTTCGTGACAGGCCCAGAGTGTTTTTTGAAGCAAGCTATACACACTTTGTACAACACAGGGTGGGGATGAAACAATGCTCGATTGAATAGTCTGCTAAGCCGTTTTAGTGCACGATTTAACTCGCGTAGAGTTTTGTTTTTCTTGTGACCGGGCAATTCAAATTCCCCGTAATAACTAATTCACAATAACAACGTTAATATCTCAGCTAGGGGTTGATTCCAGTATTTTTCGTTGCGCGAACCGTTTCACGTGAAATCCCAGTGAAGAATCATGGATAAGAGTGCTTAAATTCGTACTTTGTTTAATCTAAAACAAATGTTCACTGAATCTAAAAAAGCGAGCGTAGAGAACTTCCCTAATTTTTCTCGGAAAAAATATTTTATCGGGAAAAACGAAGCAATACGTTGGAATGTTCATACGGCGTTGAAACACAACATGGGCCTTTCAAGCCCCATTATTCGATGCCACGATTATTCTAACGCGGGTTCGAATGATCGCGCTAACCACATTGCACAGAGGGCCAGGAATCGAATTTAGCTGGACAAAAGTCCATTTTGGCTTGTCCGGAAAATTCGAAAATAGACACCACTGAGCGATAAGGTATATCATGGAGTATCTGTACATCACTGGGTTTGGGGGTCTTATCACTAATAAGACTGCGATGCCAAAATTTTCCTCATCCAAAAGGTTATGTTCCACAAACCTTCGAGTGTTTCCCAACATAACGAGTGTTTTACCAAGTTAGATTAACATGTTTTCATTTTACTGTAAGGTATTTTTATCAATTTTGTGCATTGTATAGTCTGGTACACAAAATTAAAAACTGGGCACGAAAATGTCCTAATTTTTAGGTTTAAAGTGGTCTGCAATTTTCTGTAAAGATCTGTAAGGTTACGGACCGCTACCATGTAGTTCAGTACATCCTAAACATCTAAATTTTCATTAGTTCATTTGCCTTTTCTTGCCTTACCGTGAGTTATGAATTTTTTTGTGACGCAAGATCGAGGATTTTATGCTAATTTCTTATATTAGATCACTCACGTGCCAGGCATTCGCGATTCTTACATGTTGGCATCAAAGCTCTTTCTCATTGTAAATACACTAACAAAAATCGATTCTAGGTTAGGATTTTCGACCTATATCGATTCTATCGTAGATGTGTTCATATGGATGAAAGGCAGTGTTGCCAAATTGCAAGCATGCCGTATAATGGCGCTATCCTACGCTAATGTACTTATATTGTTATTATAGATGTCAATACAATTGCAGCCCGACTTCTGGGGTTAAATTATGACTGATTCTGAATAAAATTTTCTAATTCAAGGTTTTATTCCGGCTTTGCCTTTCTATCTTCTAATTTCTGGCAAAAGAAGTGCATTCCTCAAAACAATATTTTCATTGGTTCCGCCAAAAAATACGCGACAAGCTGACGACTCCTGAATTTTCTGGACATGTCTGGAGGGTTCAAATGGTCAATTTTGTGTAAGAACACACTCTGAAGTTTTAGAATTTCTTTGGTTTACTCGCAATTTTTCGCAATTTTCTGAGCAATGAGTATTTTCGTTGGGCGAGATGAGATTCAATACTATAATTACGCTGAAAAATACGCGACATGCAGACGACTCCTGAATTTTCTGGACATGTCTGAAGGGTTCAAATTGTCAATTTTAAGTAAAAGCACACTCTGAAATTTTAGAATTTCTTTGCTTCACTTGCAGTTTTCGGCAGTTTTCTGGGCTATGAATATTTTCGTTGGGCGAGATGAGATGCAATGCTAATTCTGCTGAAAAATACGCGACATATATTCCCACATATTACCCAGAGATAAATCATCATTTTTCAAATTTTTTAAATTTTAAACTGAAAAATGTTGAACAAAGAAAGCAAAACTGTAATTTACTCACCAAGATAACCCTCAGAAACCAATTTCTTCACACAAAACAAACTCAGGTACCTCTGAATATTTGAGTGAAAAATTGCTATTAATTACCCGTTGATAAAGCAATTTTTTTTAATAATTCTCAGCAAAAACTTCAAAATTTCTTAAAAGAAACCCAAAATATGGATTCAGCGACCTAAATTACCTCTAAAAACATACATTCTCTCATATTAGTAAGTTCAGGCGCCTCTGAGGACTTTTGTCCGGCTAAACTTGGCCGCTGGCCCTCCGTGCATTGCGGCCGCCGTTAAACGCATATTAGCGCCTGCAAGACTGCATGAATACTTCTCGCATTGCGCCAAACGCAGTGCAGTCGGTTAGTTGGCGTGACACGCATATAGTGGCGCCTACAGGACTGCATGAATACTTCTCCCATTGCGCCAAACGCAGTGCAGTCGGTTGGATGGCGTGACACGCATATTAGCGCCTACAAGACTATATGAATACTTCTCGCATTGCGCGCACAGCACGGTGCGCGTTTTGATCGTTGTAATTTCGCGGTGTCAGATCCACCACCCGCGATGTAAAGAACAAAATATCCAACCTGTGTACAACGTGAGTCTGCGATCCTCGAGGGATCGGGGAGATTTCCCTGTTTTCTGTCAACTTTCCCATCATTAAATGGACTTCAATTCGCAATTAAGAACTATAATTTCTTGCTCATCCGAAAAAACTCTTATGTGCATAGGGAAACTAATGGCACTTACGTTGTTTTTACACTGAGCTGGAATTTATTGTTTTAATTGCAAAATGTGGTAAAAATATCCCTCATTGCACCTAATGTACTGGTTCTTCAGACGAATCAGACATCAAATTTTGCCAGTTTTAGTTGCAAATTTCAAGTCCGACTGCACCGTTTGGCTCGTTCTACTGTCCATCATTGTCTCGCATACTGATGTTCTCAGTCATTGAGAACCGTGTGTAAAGCGTAGGCGTCCGGCAAGGCTTGGACATGTTTTTGGCTACTCTTCCGCGCGGCGCACAGAGCGGCGTCAAGTCTCTTCAGTGATAGGGAAATGCGACTCTAGCGTGAGTTGAGAAATAGTCCGTAAGTGTAGCAGTCGATATTTGAATTCATTTACGGCAGGCGTAACGAGATAACTATTCGACCACAGGTGAGAGCGTATTGCCACTCGCTGGATTGAAGGCGCATCACGCTGTGAAGATGAATTGACCGCGCTCCCTTCCCTGGCTCGCGCAATGCTGAAGGAGCCGCTCAACTAGGACTACTTATAATCATTCTTGACATTCTGCTTCAGTTTTTACCATGATTAAAGGGAAAATATGCATCCTTGTTTTAACGATTTAAAAACTCGGATGATATTTAATTTTATGATTACGTAAAAAGATAATAGAACGAACGAAAATGTCTCGTCGAATTTTTCGATGCTTTAATTTGAGATCATTTCCGTAAATTGTCAGAAACTTTTCAGAGAAAAAGTTTATGTAGCTTTTTTTAAACATTCAACGAAAATAAAACATAAAAAAAGGTAGACGCCGTCGCAATTAGAGATAAATACCCTTTTTTTCGCAAGCATCCGTCTGCTTTTGAGTCCATATTCATCTCCTAAAGAACTTGAGCATGGTTGTTTTACGATTTTTTTTCTACGTGTGGCTTTTTGTCAGTGGTTGGCGGCCATGTAACGGCCACAGCCCCCTAGTATTTTTATATTTTCATTATTTCCTTTGCTCTTTTGCGGAAACTACGAGGGGCGTTCAATAAGTAAGTATCCCCCCTCTCTAAAATCCATTAAAATGGACCAATTTTAAAAAAACTTGGGCTCAAAATCTTTCTTAGGATATTTTGAGTTCAACGAAACAAACCGCAACAAAATCAGACCATGTGCGGTCGAACGCGCCGAGGTGCTCGACGCTACCGCCAAATCCGCGAGGATTTGAAGTCCGCTACAGGAGAAGAGCTTCTCTGCTAAAGCCTTAGTCGTTCATCACTGACGAAAAATCAAAGAAATTTTTGTAGAATTCGGGGCTTACCTCACTTCTCCACATAACCAGCTCGATCCAAGCAAGTCTGATACTGAGACTAAGACTAAGAGAACAGCTTTTGGATGCCTCGTGCGTGGAAGTCTTTCAGCTGACCGCGGATGAAAGAGTGAACGGCTTGTTTGACCTCTTCCACTGATTCAAAATTAACTCCTCCGAGTTCAGATTTCAGATACGATAATAAATAGCAAACCAGACCACCATTTATTCCCGTTCCTGAAATCTGAACTTGGAGGAGTTAATTTTGAATCAGTGGAAGGGGTCAAACAAGCCGTCCATTCTTTCATTCGCGGTCAGCTGAAAGACTTCCACGCACGAGGCATCCAAAAACTGTTCTCTTAGTCTTAGTCTCAGTATCAGACTTGCTTGGATCGAGCTGGTTTTGTGGAGAAGTGAGGTAAGCCCCGAATTCTACAAAAATTTCTTTGATTTTTCGTCAGTGATGAACGACCAAGGCTTTGGCAGAGAAGCTCTTCTCCTGTAGCGGACTTCAAATCCTCGCGGATTTGGCGGGAGCGTCGAGCACCTCGGCGCGTTCAAACGGCTCGCGTTCGGCCGCACATGGTCCGATTTTGTTGCGGTTTGTTTCGTTGAACTCAAAATATCCTAAGAAAGATTTTGAGCCCAAGTTTTTTTAAAATTGGTCCATTCTTATGGATTTTAGAGAGGGGGGATACTTACTTATTGAACGCCCCTCGTACTTGCTCCAGAAAAAAAGAAAAAATTTCTTTCTCAAACAGTAACTTGTTGTTCCTGAGAGAAAATATTTTTCTCCAGAGCACTAACTAATTGCTCTGGAGAGGAAATATTTTCTCTCCGTGGATATCAGTTAAAGCTACAGAGAGAATTATTTTCTTTTCGGAGCAATTAGTCAGTGTTTCGGAGAAAACTATTTTCTCTCCACTGCTATGACTAATTTCTTTCGAGAGAAATATTTTCTCTTCGGAACAACAAGATACTGTTTGAGATTATTGTTTTTTTTTTTCTGGAGCATGTGATTTGTTTTATTATTAAATCCTTAATAAATTGTAAACTTGTTAACACCAACGAAGAAGTAGCAAAATCCACGATTTAGTTGTGTTGATGTGTTGCTTTTGTCAATATAAGCAATTCAAGGCGCAATAATATCTCGAAGAATTTGAACTTAATTGGAAGAAAGCTTCACTGAAATTGAAAAGAAGTCCTTATTTAATGGAATCGTTTTCTGTTGCTTAAGCTTAAGTAAAAAAAAAATCATGAACTCTGGCTTTCTTTGACCACGCAGGATACTCATGAGTTTTTGGACTTAGGCTCGCCTAACGGAAACCGACCCCTTTGCAATTCCGTTGCAAAATTTTTTTCGCATTGTTTAGCTGCATTGCATTGTTGAAAATCGCCAAAAAATCGTGAATAATCAATTATTACATCACAAAAAATTGCAATTTTCCAATTTTGTGGCGAATTTTTTTTTTTTATTATTTGTGCCTTTATTACGATCTCAACTTTCAAAAATGTTCTTTGGGAATGATAAATAAGTACATGCTAAAGAATGTCCGGCCAGTTGCGAGGCGTGAACGATCGATTATCAATATTTCCTCATTTGAATTAAGCTACGATAAAAAATCGCATATTAAGGCGTCGTTGCGAACAACCTGTTTATCGATCCTTTTTGATAGGTTTAAATGGCAGATATATCGTATGAGGCATGCCACGCCGCGCCACTGGTTCTGGCAACATCCGCGACCTGAGGAGCTTGGCAGCTGGAGTCGGAATTTTTTATCATGGCTGACGAAATTCAGATAAACTCCGCCAAAATTTTAGAAGAATGAGTCAAGCTTTTTGCAAAATTACCAATTTATGGTAGCCAGTACCAAGAATTTTGTCCTCAGATGTCAAGTTTTCTTGGGGTGCAGATATTGACAAAAAATATTTTTACGGAAAGAGTGGAAAGAAAAACGCCAAAATTACAATGTAAAATTTTATTATTACACGTTTTATACCGTGAACAAAGCTAGTTGTGGATTACTACAATACTTCATCGAATGCTATAATCTAATATGATGCGTATTTTAGCTCGTGACGATCTGTTCTCTCAACGACTCAGTCCTTAAACGCGCGCTGGATATTCCTCTTGAGAATCGTCATTTTCATCATCGGGGTGAACATCTTCGAAAAGATGTCCTGAAGTAACGTACTCTTGGATGTTGGCTTGATCTATTCCGAACTTGATGATTTTGTTCCCACCATTGAAGTTGGACCAGGTATTTACTGCCAGCCAGTATTTTTGGCCTTTCTCCTCTCCCCAACCGATCACTTTTGCGTGCTTCCACGTGGCGGCCTCCTCTGCACCCTTGGAGACTCGGTAAATTCCTTAAAGAGAGAGAATAGGAGATTTTAGTACGAAAAGGAACTTTGGATGTGAAGGTTAAGGGTCGTATCCACTTTCTTTCTCTGAACTAATCCTTTCTATATGGAAGCTCTTCTTGATTTATAAAGTATGACTTAGGGATGTTTAAGGAGGTTTTAGACATGTTATCATGAAGAGCCACACGGAAAAAAAATGCTGATTCAACAATTCAATTGCTATAAACAGTGAGTGCAATGTTTCAACGCAGATTTTACAACAAATAAATGCTACTTTAACCATATTGTAAACTAATTTAACCACGGGAGTGGTTAAAGTAGCATTTTTTTGTTGTAAAATCTGCGTTGAAACATTGCACTCACTGTTTTAAGCAATTGAATTGTTGAATCAGCAATTTGTTTTTCCGTGCAATTTTTAGTATAGCCTCAAGTGTTTGGTGTACATACATATGAGATTATTAGGGGCTCGGAGGGCAAGGCGTTATGGTGGTGTTTTTTTTTTTTTTTTTTTTTTTTTTTTTAAAGTTGAGGTATTAATAATTTGAAGTAAAACTAGTCTTAAGGCATATTCTGTGAAAACTTCGCTCCCAAATTCCAATTTATAAGCATCAAAAAGTCAGTTTGAACTTTCTTTCTGCCATAAGGATCCATGTAATTTCGAAACTTTAAACACGTATTTATCGAAATAGCAAAATCTTCACCTATGCGCCTTGCCCTCCAAGCCCCTCATATGAATACGTTGCTCCTTCATTGCACTTCGGCGCGCTGCAACGCTCAAACGCATTGCGATTGGAAATAGATAGTTACAAGAGATAGCATTGATTTGCTGCCACAAAAAAATACAAAATGCAAAGAAAAATTCTATCATGCTGACTAAAGTCAATGTAAGTGTGTGCGGACCTACCCCAACTTTCGTAAAACCCGCGGTAGTTGTTCTCTCGTATTTTGTATTTTTTCTGTGTTGGCAGATAATTGTAATCCCTTGTCAGACTTTTACTTTTAACTAGACATAAATACAAATTATACGATGTGTTAAGCAACTAATGATCAAAATGTTCAAATTTTAAGCGATCTTGATGATCCTTATCTCGTTTTTGGTCTCACCTTTTTTGTACTTGAAGAAATCATCGTACAATGTGAAGCCTACAGCAATGGATCCACGTGCTATTATCTCTTTCTTCATTGCCTCTTCGTCGTTTTCCGGTAGGAAGTACCAATCCTGGACTAAAGGCAACAGATCAGAAAAACATATGATCTCTCCACGGAGTAATTTGCAAAAAGTAAAATATCCGGACGCATTTATGCTGAAAGGAACCAGAGACGGGTGGGGAAGAAGGAGTGTGCTTGTTAGCTGAGGGCTGTAAGAATGAATGGAAATTATACATCGCCAGTGACGTCAGCAGTGACAACCGGGATCGACGATAACGATGAACTCGAATGTTGTGCGCTTTAACTCGTGAGCCGTGTCCACAACGCTCTTGTCACACACCCACGGCTCATGAGTTGGCATATTTTGGCGCTTCGTTCCTTTTGATTTAATGTAAATTTTCACTTTTCCATTTCGCCGAAAGGAATCACGCCCGCATTTACATTGTTCCTTATGCAGCTTTACCAGTACATCCCATCTTTCCCACCCGACTCTAGTTCTTTTTAGCATAAAAACGTCCAAATCAAGGGCAGATTTGTTCCGTTAATGAACCAATGGACGGAACATTGCAATTAAACCCATTTTGACAAGTGCGTGTGTAATTAACATTAAGGTTTTTTTTTACATCAGTACCTTTTGATGATGTTTACAACTTATTGTGATCGATTTTTGAATTTCTCGAGAGCGTAGAAGCCCCCAACTGAAACCCATTTTTTGAAAGTAGCAAAACTCTCACTCTTTTGGACATCGAAAATACGGAGTTTAAGATGGTTCTTCAATGCTTTCTAGAGAAATTTGATGGTCGATCGAGCAACTAATAATTTTCAGATTTTTGACGTTTTTAAAATGAATAAAAAGAAAAAAACCCTATATCCTTACCACGCTGTGGTACATCAGGTGTTTGTGCACATGATTCGACGAATAAACACTTTGAAATAACTCGGGGAGCATGTCTCGAGCGAATACCGTCAATCGTTTTGTCTCTCTATTTCTGTCCCTCTACTTCTATTTCTCTCGGGACGGAGTTATTTCGAGATGTGTCTCGGTCAAATCTTGCGTACAAATCCCTGACGTACTACACGTGATGTAAATATTAGAAATTTTATAAAGAATGTCATAAAGAGGAGGTAACAACAGAATCGATCGGAAAATGGAATGTGCTTTAAAAAGCAGAGGATCGACTTTGATGTTACAGGATTCCGGGCTTTAAATATTCCAACAGATTTTGAAATTAGAGAGTGCTCAATGAACATTCTCTGCGATCTTGCCTCCTCATTTTTAACAGCTCAGGCAATCTCAGAATACACTACCGGACAAATAAGGAGTTATTCAGTTATTTTTTAAAGATATTCAGCAACTTTGGCTATTCCTGTCTTTAGTCAGGAAGAAAAAAATTATATCTGTCTCTTTCTCGGAATTTAAAGTATGAAAGACTTGTTTTTGTCTGAAGTTAACTTATTAGCAAGACAACAAGTAAACACAAGACAACGAGTAACTTACATCGAACAGTGCGGTTTTTCATGTCTTTGTATTCGTAATTGGTGTTGGTGCACTTTGCAGTGCATTTGTTCTGCTTCACTTTAGAGTATGCGTGCCTGCATTCCTCCAATCCGTCTTTCCTTTCGACGTCCGACGTGCTGCTCATGACTCTCTTCTTTTTGGCGATGTATTTTTCAAGCGTGTGCTTGCATGGCTTGTAAGAATATGGCTGGCATCCCTGCATTCAGACAGTTGTATATTAATATAATTTACACACGGTTTAGACGCAAGCTAAAAACGAAAACTTAAACGAGGCTAAATACACATGGCAAAGACAATGGAGACTAAACTAGAATCACAAAGTCTCATTCAACGACTGTTAAGCGCTATTACGCGTATAGGCGGATCCAAGGGGGCGACGTGGGATTCAATCCTTCTAGCTAGGGAGCCTGGGCGCCCCTCAGTACCACCCATAGACTCGCATTTGAGGACTTATATGTAACAATAGCGGTCGCAGACATCCGCCATTTTTAGGGCAAACGCTTTTTTCGAATTATGGAGCCCTCAAGAATGCCCGTGCAAAGTTTCAGACTTCCAACGCGATTTGTCGGCGAGATATGAACTGAAAACCATGTTATTTGTAAAAAGAGCGGATGTGAAAATCCTTTTTTTTCCCGGCCGGCGCGGCAGGACACTGTGGAGATTCGAACCCACTTGCGATAACTGCCCGCGCACCGGCCATGGGCTGTAGCTGACACTTAAATTATACGTATTGGGACCGTCTCGCCAGAATTGTTGAATTTTCAACTGATTTTATGATTTTTCCTTTTTTTTGTAGAAGTTACTAACGGTTTAGTTTTTTGTTCAAATTGTATTAAATGACTCAGCATTGAATTATTTTTGGTTCATTTCAATCGTTTCACCAGCCTTACCCTTCCTGAAGACTTTGTTTCATGCATAAAAGAATGTTTTCAGTAAAAATAGCGGATGTCACATTTTTTTCAAATCGCTGTTACTTCTTCAATTCTTCACTTACATAGATCGTAAAACGTGTGTTTTTTACAGGAAGAGTTGCTCTTCATGAAAATCTTTACAAGGATCCTCTCGGTTCTACGGACGGAAAAGTGCAAAGCTTCGAAAACTTCAAACGCGATTTTCTCACGATGTGAAAACTCGACATCCGCTATTGTTACATATAAGTCCTCATTTGTTAATCAAAACTGGAGACACTCACAATATCCGAGTTGTAATCTCCACCGGTGGGCACTCCATAATTCCAGGCCCAGATCCAGGACATCGCAATCCACGCTGTTTCCCTGCACTTTTCAGCGCATCGCACGAGGAAGTCGGCAGAAAATTGCTCCTTCTTTTTGCCTCCTGTCTGGATGCAATACTTGTCCGCGAGAATGGAGGAGACAATCGCCGGCTACATAATGATATTAGGTGGAAATTAGAATCAATAGTGCTAAGATTGAACCCGATACAAAAGCCCAACGTCACATTTTCTTTCATGCGCCCATAATTGAAACAAGATGATATTTCGAGGAAAGAAGCATATTGATTAGCGAAACTAAATGAGAACCTTTTATGCTGATCACGGCGCAATTCAAATCTCGCTTGTGTTTTATGTTTTCAAAGTAGTTGGGACCAAAGGGAAGTCGATCTGTGACCTGGTCTACTTCTTAATTTTTTTTTTTTTCATCACTGGTTTAAAAAAAAATAATTATTAACGCACGCTGACTTTACGTCAATTTCAGAATGCAAGGTGTGCACTGCTCTTTTTCGACACATATTCATTTTTATTTCTCATCATCGAGAAACATCCGGGTCTCAATGGCGTGGTATGCTTTGCGATTTGTCGATATTTTCTCAATTGAAGCTGTGGTAAAGAATCGATCATGAAGATTTTCGTTGCGACCACCGTATTTATCGATCTTTTCCATAGGTTTAAATGGCAGAAAAATCGATTTATCGCAAAGCACGCCACGCCACTGCCCGATTTATGCTGTTTTATTTCGAATTTTGGGCGAATAAATCAATTAAATATTATACTAATAGTCGCATTTGGGGGGGGGGATAAGTTGAATAAGATTAGTTTAGCCTGAAACTAGTCATTAATTTTCTCTTGTTAAAAACTCGAAGTTCGGAAAAAGTAATCTGAACATGAAAATAGTCAATAAATTTTGTCCTTAACTTTTTTTTTTTTATTTTTTTATTTTTTTTTGGTTGAAACTTGACACGACTTGATAAGTTGCTGTTCTGCCGTTCTTAGAAAAAACGCCGTATGAACATTCGAGAGTTACCAAATTTCTCTTGATAAAATATTAATTTTCAAGGAGAGTCAGCCACTTTTTCCTTATAATTTCCAGATATTTTAAATTAAATTGCGAACAAAATTGTACGACAAATTTGAAAAACAATGTTCAACATTATTCAAGTAAATTTGTTTTTTATTGAAGGGTGTGGCATCGTCTGAGGGCTCATACGGGTTCTTCCTTAGCACAACAGGGTTAAATTCTGTCCAACTATGTTTACAATAATCTGTAAATTTATATCAAAATCTCAACAACCTACCGCATCTGTGTCACATGCACCTTCATCCTGAGCTTCGCTGAATAGATCAGCGCATTCTGGGTGCTCTTTCCGAAGATCGAATTCTTTCGGAACACTTTGTGGCCACTTTATGTCGTTCATTTTCACCATGATGTCTTTCTCCGCTGCTGGTCCAAGATATTGCTTCAGTTTCTCAGGGAGTGTTTCTGATTTGGCAATTTTGAACTGCAATGACAAAGAGAGGAACATCGACGACTAAAGTTGAAAAATGGATTGCTCGATAGAAACTTTTAAAAATCTTCGCGGAGAAAAATTTCAGGGGTTATCCCTTAAAGTTGTAGTATTACCCCAATTTGTTGGATGATATGAACATTTTCAATTATTTGTGGCAGTACTGCAACAATTGGGTTAGTAACCTAATTTATTGGGACACTGCCACAATTTTTTTGGAAATGTCCGCATCAAAATCCCAACATCTTTTTTACCGTGTCAAATTATGTGACTAAACTTGTTGAAATATTTTCCTTTAAATCTTACTATAAAAACTTTATACTTAACTAAAAACTTAGGATATGATATACGCAGCCGCAGCTAGTATACTGCAATTGCGGCTGGTGTTACAATGCCAACATCAAGTTTTTTCGAAACAAAATTATTGATTATATTAGATTGAAATTCAACGAGATACGTATAGACATTGAGTTCACTTAACCCGTAGAAATATTTTCAGTGGTCAGATATTTTCTATGAATGTTATTGAAACGACAAGTTTTTACATGATAATATGGAAGTGTATTAGTGACCATCTTTTCAACTTTACAATACGTTTTCAACGTGACCTCCAGATTTTCAACATGGACTTTTAGTTATTAATGGTTCATTTGAGTGAAGTTATTATAACTTACCGTTGCACCCAGGCCTTTATTCGTGCTGTGAGGCTCACTTATGCTCTCATGAACGAGAACTAGACCAGCCAGGGCGATTGTCAAAATCCTCATCATTGGCTCCATCTAGAATATACAAGAGTTTCTAGTTTTTTTTTGTTTTTCAATAATATATACAGATAAAATGATAATTGAAGCATATAGGCTCAAGAATAAACAAATTCTCATTTAAACTTTAAGATAACTGATAAAAACTGTGAATTTGCAACGATTTCAAAACCTTTGATTCTTTCCAGAAACACGCAGGCGCTGTTTTAATCCTAGACGTTTCAACTCATTTAAACAATAAAATAGTCCGATTTTTGAAAAAAAAAAAAAAAAAAAAAAAAAAAAAAAAAAAAAAAGAATGTTTACACCCGAAGAAATTATCACAAGAAAGCTGGAATTAACCCGTAAACGCCCAAGTCGGGTCAACTTGATCTGAGGCTTGCTAAACCACGTGCCCCGCGGGTTATACGATGCCTGTGCATACGAACTTAAGATATATGTAGGTCTTAGAATATATCCTAAAAACATAATCAGACATTGCAAATTGAAAAAAAAGGAATAAAGTCAAATCGAGGGTATACCAAGCTAAAGATAAGAGAAACGTATTTGGGCTTCGCTTTTTTAAACTTTGCTGCCGAATATAAGCGACACCTCATTGACCGCAAAGAGCGGAGCAATCGGAGCAATCGAGTTCATGCCTCGCGCCGAAGCGCCTTCAATTTTGCAGACAGCAAAACGGACATCCATCAAGCACGAATAGTTGTATCTCTGCGCCGTCATCGATACGCGCATGCTTGCCCTAGTTCTATTTTCATAATGTGTTGGTTCCGTTCATCTTGATTGTAGTGGTGGTTCGAGGGCTACATGAGCTACACAACCGAAAATGGGAAGTGCGTTTTCGGGCTTTGTTTTTTAACCTCCCTGCTGAATCTGAGGGACACCTCAATGTAAAGTAAGCGCCAGTGTCTCAAAAAAATGTGAAAAAGTAAAAAATAACAAAAAAAAAACCCTCTAAAACAGAAATAACATAAAAAATAATATGAAAATCAATGTACTTAAATATGGGTAGATTTGACTCGACTTGAGACTTTGCGTATAAAAAAATATTGAGCATCTAAGGACCAATACATAGAATTCAAAAGTAGAAATAAAAAAGGACATTGTATTAATAAATGTTAAAAATAATACTTTTTTTTAAATAAAAGATAGAACAAGTTAACGTCTCATTAAATCAAGTTTTTTTTTTTCAACTGACAAAAAGTACGTCTACTTCTGGTCTGATTTATAAATAATCTTTAGGGAATATAATCTTAGCTGGCTGAAAATCAAAGATTTATATATCACTTACCTGGGAGAGGAAAGCTCTGAAATCGGCAGAGTCGAGGTTCAAGAATATTGTGATGTACTTATAATTTGGCCTCGGGGTTTTTTATACCTTTCTATAAGATAACTTTCCATCGAGCATCCAACCCGATGACATCAGCCGTTGCATCTTGCCGCCCTCTCGATAGAAGGATCAGATGTCGCCCTCAAGAGAAATTCTCGAAATATTTTCCACATTATGCGATCACGATGTCATAATGACAATCGCTTCGGCCGATAACCCTGATAACGGACCATTTTTGAAACTTCGAGTTGTTTTAAAGCACTCTCCTTTATAGCGCACTTGAAATATAAACGACTAAACTGTCTCTGTAAAATCTCTGATTCACTCTTTTGTTATGCTTTCGAAATACTTTGCAGGGACTCGAGTCCCCCCCCCCCCCCCATCCATTTTCTGATATTTATAGTTGGATTCGCAAATATCTATCTTAATTGTTTCTAATCTAATTTGAAATTGAAAGTTGGTAATTTTAAACGTAAACATAACTGTTTGCGACCGAAGTAATTATTGCATGTTGTTGAACTTTACTAAAGGGACTTGGCAGATTAGTGGGATAAAATCAATTTTTTTTTTTTTTAAAAAAAAGGTTGAGATATGAATGATTTCAACTAAAACTAGTGTTCAAATGTATTCTAAGAAAAATTTACTGTGAAGATCCAATTTTTAAGCATTGAAAAGTGAGTTTCAATCTCCTTCCAGCCACTCTATGTTATTTTGAAGCTTAAAATACGTAGGTTCTTGAAATAGGAAAAACTGCACTTTCCCACTTGCCGTCCGAGCCCCTTAATTTCAATTGGTCTATTTTTCGTCTCAACATGGTCACCCCATATGCGTGTGGAATCACAGTGAAGGGCGCCTATATTTTTTACTGTCTTTTCTTTTGAGATGTCTACATCCTTTCAATTTAATGATATAATACCATATCTACGGATTTGGACCTGTGTATATTAGCTTAGTTCTATCTTAAAATGTCCATTGATATTGTTCGGGTGTTCCTGAACATTCATGTCCGCGCCTCCTTGTGGCTTTCGATGGCTAGACTTCTGAGGTGCCATCAATTATACTCCTAATTTCTTCCGTCTCTCAGAATGAGGAATGTCTGATTTAAAGAGGAGCTGTAAGGCGGGAATAAAAATGAGCCCTTAGAAACTTATCGACCCTTACTGGCCGGAAATCTGTAGGTGTATATTCATATCCCGTGCGGAATTTTTGACTTTCTAAAGGAGGACCTTCACTGGAAAAAAAGAATCTTAAATTTGCCGCCAAGAAGTATTTCTTCTTAAATCAAGAATTTTGCTGGTTAATATAAGCTACTATTTGCTTAACCTAAGCATTATTTTTCTTGAATCAAGAAAAAGTCAGCTCAAAGCAAGATAAAGAAAATTCTTGGCGGCAAATTCAAGAATTATCATGCTTGATCCAAGCTACTTTTTTTCAGTGTTCTTTCAGGGACTTTCCTTTCCACTTTCGTTTCCTCGAAAGTAATTTAGAGGTTTTACCTCGGCGTCGGCTCTTATACCAATAGCGTTTCAATAAAATGATTAGATTTTTTCAGTAAGGAACACGAAGAAGAACGTCAAATTAACATGCTAAAATTTTATTATGACTTTTTAACGTTTCAAGAGAATGATAATTTCGAATCGTGATAAAATTAAATTGAGGGATCATCATCCTCGTCTTCATCTGACTCGTCGTCGGGGTGTCGAGGTTCATGAAAGTGTCCTGATGTCGCGAGTTCTTGAATATATGCCTCATTGATGCCGATCTTGAATACCTGCTCTCCTCCATTGAAATCTTTCCAGGTATTCACTACCAGCCAATATTTGTCTCCATCCTCCTCCCCCCAACCGATCGCTTTCACGTTTTTCCAGTAAGATGAGGCTTCCCTTGTACCCTCGGTGACATGATAAATCCCTGAGAAAGAAAGTTACGACGAAAGTTAGTGGAAAGGCGTGAATGGAGATGTTGCATGTCTGAGGAATTTGCGATTTGATTGTTGATTCTTATGTAACAGTTCCCGAGAAACACGATGGTGTCACTGGTTTTCTCTGAAATCAACTCCCAAGCTCAAAAAAAGCTCTCAAGTTGAGGCCAAAATGGAGGGGATATCCCACGCTATCCTGAGCCTGAGAGTCCACCTCTACATCAAGGCAAACTCTCCATGCAAAGATAGGGGGCAAATACATCAGCAGGGTTGCCGTGTTTTCAGTTGTGGAGTCCCCAAATAAAGTGGCAGCCCTGTCAATGTATTTGCTCCCTATAAAAACGAGTGAAAATGTTGCAACATTGAGATGCAGCTCCATTCTTTTGTGTGGGATACAACGAATTAAGTGCCAATCGCAGAGTCTCTAAAATATATTATCTATAATAAATATTGTTGTATCGGATAATCCGTAGTTAGAGAGTTCTTATTTTAAAATGTTATTTTTTAAAAAAATTAATCAAGCATTAAACTTTCATATTATATTGTGCTTTTATGAAACGCAGTCAATTGAAAGACTCGCTAACAATACAGATTGAAAATGACAGGGCAAGTAAGACTAAAGTTATGAACTGCTTGAATCTTGGGGAGAGTCGAAGAGCCAGTCGGACACTACCGAGTTACGGCAAAGAATGGGTTCATTGCATCTCAAAATCGGCGAATATGACATAAATATTACGTATTTTGTTCTTTTTGTGGAGTGAAACATTGTACAGATATTTTTTAGGATACAAGGAATCAGAAAAACTAATAACATTTCGCAGCAATGCATGAAGTATGACGAGGAATTGAAGGCGCGCAATCGTGCATAACCGTGAGGATTGGTGTAACAAATTATCGAACGCTTCAGCTTCATACAGTAGTAAAGTCCAATTTCAGGGGACGGACGGAACCAAACGGCTAAAACACCCTGTGTTTAATCATGAAGACTGACAACTTTCGCTAATATTTAATCTTTTGAGGGAGACAGATTCAAACTTTTCACCAATAAGCTTTGTTGAATTTTCTTAGACAAGAAAACATAATTCACTGACATTGTCTATAAATGACGTAAATACTGACAAAATACTGACAAGACAAAATACTTCATGTGATAGCCCAGGCAATAGAGGATAGAATAGGGGTTTACCTTGCAAAATTTAGGTGAAATCAGGTTATGATCGATTCCTATGTAATTTTTTACGCTGAATCCGAATTTTTGGTTTCCCAACAAATTTTCCTTGTGCTAACTCCGGAAAATCGGAAAAACCGCGAAAAATCACGTTTTTCCGCGGTTTTCCCGAGATATCTCTTTTCCCGTGCGATATATCGAGAAAATGGTTATTTCCAAAAATAAAGCTGATAAAATTTCCTACAAAAATGATCTGAACGTTTTTCTCATACGTCCACTAGGGAGAGAGCTGGAGCCGTGGAAAGCTCTAAAAACTCGTAAAATCGCGATTTTCCACGGTTTTTCGCCATTTGTGTGCAATAAATTTGTTCTTTCGCAAAATTTCAGGATAGTCTTACCTTAAAAATTAATGCTGCTTACTTTTAAGACAAAAATGATGCCAATTTTTTCTTTATAGGTCCATTGGAAGCGGTTTTAAAGCCGTGAAAAGCCATGAAAAGCTCGAAAATCGCGATTTTCCGGCATATTTTCGTAACAAATCCGTTCCTGTCCAAAAAACTCATTTAAGGTGACTTCAAAATTCAATCTTATAAAATTGTCAACATACATACGCAGAATTTGCTCCCATGGCGCGCCCTCGTGCTCTGCGACATCCAAACGCCAGGTGTGCTTATCTACGTAAGGGTTAGTAGACAACGAACGACGTAATAAAATAGTCCAATTTTCAACATACTTAAATGATGTTGAAATTTCCTTGTATATCTGAAGAAACAACGGATATGGATTTGTCGAAAGCGTAAATAATGCAAAAAGTTGAAAAGTTTGAAATTTAAAGAATGTATTGATACAATTTTTCAATTATGCGAAAACAACTATAATAGTATCGTAATAATTAGATAAGAACTATGATAGTAAATATGTTCAATGTCAAGAAGTATAATTCAGATGCATGGTCAGGCACTCTGCTGACTGAATGTCCTGATTATCTGAAATCAAAATGAAAAGCACGGGTATAATGGCATAACCTAACATATTATTTTCTATCGGTGAAAGAGCTACTAAGTTATAAAATTGGGTCATGGTTTAAAATGGCAAGAGGAACGTAATTGTTAAATTGTTATAGGTGTTATCGGTGTTTTTTTCTTTCTTTTTTGCTATTTGAGAATGTTAATTTGTGCCTACTATAATGTAAATTTTCTCTGCTCAATCAACTCATGGAAAATTTATTGTAAACTTGATGGGAAAATTCTCACCTGCGTTGTCATCATTGCCGTCTTTGCAGTATTTTACGACTTCAGCATGACATCGTCTAAATCGGAGAACAGGAACTTCTGGTATGGATTTATCTTAATTTGAATTGCTCGTTTGAGCTTTTGCAACATCGTTTACTAGAATAAGAGAAACGTATGCCTAGGAAAATCTTTTGGTATTAATCTGAGAGGAGAACAATGAGTAAAGCAACCTGCATTTATACGGTTCGCAGATACAATCGCGATTTTTCGCTTCCTTGGCATTTCAGGATCTTATTTTTGTTGTCAATGAGTATATTTATCCATTGATTGTTGGTTCATAATGACGCTACAATTATTTGGAAATAATGTGACACTTGTGCAATTAATAGAGTAATGTCATGATTGCTGAAATCAAGGATATTAATGTGATCTGCCATAAGGCTAAAATTCTACATCTATCGTACAAGCCTCCCAAAATTATGAGTAGTTCACGGGTGCGTGCCGTGATTACTCTCATTCTTGTTTTCTCAATTACCTAGAGTCGCTTCATTTACATCACTGATAAAACCGAAGTGGAAGAAACCGTGATTTGAATTTCTGCGGTATATGAAGTCAATGAGTACATTTTTTTAAGCATCACTGGCCATTTCTATCAATTTAAATAAAAATAAAAAAACAAATTGAGTGAAATTAATACCTACCTGCAAACGTCTCCGAACTTCTTTCATCTCTTCGGTCGTCTGCTGTTCTTTCTGTGAACGATTCAGGAGTATATTCCATAAATCATCAGGATCATCTACGATAAGTTCCGCGGATAAGTCCTCATCGAGTGCATTCTCACATGTACCATTAAAATTTCGACACATAATTGTGCAATTTAATCCACCGAAAACATCATCACATTGAATTTAAATTTTTGAGGTATATTTTTAGCCCCATATTTTTACACAAGATGATTCATTTGTGGCTTGAAAGTGGAAAATCACAATTTTTCGCATTTTTTGAGCTACACATAATTCTCTATGCGGCACTTTTTGACCCATGCTAAAAGCTTTTCACGTCAAAAATGTGTTGACAATTTCATAAGATTAAATCTTGAAGTCTCCATTAGCTGAGTTTTTGGCACAAGAACGGATGTGTAACAGAAATATCCACAAATTTAGAAAAATCATTTCAGAAATTGTAGTAGTACATTCTTCAAATTTCAACTTTTTGCATTATTTACGATATGGATTTGTCGAAAGCGTAAATAATGCAGGATTGCACTATTACAACATCATTCCATCCATCCATATCCGTTGTTTCTTCAGATATACAAGGAAATTTCAACAACATTTAAGTATGTTGAAAATTGCACTATTTTATTACGTCGTTCGTTGTCTACTAACCCTTACGTAGATAAGCACACCTGGCGTTTGGATGTCGCAGAGCACGAGGGCGCGCCATGGGAGCAAATTCTACGTATGTATGTTGACAATTTTATAAGATTGAATTTTGAAGTCACTTTAAATGAGTTTTTTGGACAGGAACGGATTTGTTACGAAAATATGCCGGAAAATCGCGATTTTCGAGCTTTTCATGGCTTTTCACGGCTTTACAACCGCTTCCAATGGACCTATAAAGAAAAAATTGGCATCATTTTTGTCTTAAAAGTAGGCAGCATTAATTTTTAAGGTAAGACTATCCTGAAATTTTGCGAAAGAACAAATTTATTGCACACAAATGGCGAAAAACCGTGGAAAATCGCGATTTTACGAGTTTTTAGAGCTTTCCACGGCTCCAGCTCTCTCCCTAGTGGACGTATGAGAAAAACGTTCAGATCATTTTTATAGGAAATTTTATCAGCTTTATTTTTGGAAATAACCATTTTCTCGATATATCGCACGGGAAAAGAGATATCTCGGGAAAACCGCGGAAAAACGTGATTTTTCGCGGTTTTTCCGATTTTCCGGAGTTAGCACAAGGAAAATTTGTTGGGAAACCAAAAATTCGGATTCAGCGTAAAAAATTACATAGGAATCGATCATAACCTGATTTCACCTAAATTTTGCAAGGTAAAATCCTTTATTGCCTGGACTATGATACTCACCTCCTTTGTAATCGAAGAAATCTTCGTAAAGTAGAAAAGTCAAACAAACAGGTCCACGTGCTATGATCTCCTTCTTAATCACTTCTTCATTGTCTGCATGAAAATCGGCTGCTTCTAGGTAGTACCATGATTCGACTGTTGTAGAAAAAGGAGAACAAATTAATATTAAGAGTCCTTTCAAGCTTGGTTTCATTCTACCTCATTGGCCAATTTAATAGATCTTTGGATAAAAATTCAGTGGTTTTATATGATCCTTAGGAAATCTGGTAAATCTGGCAACCACTTCTAAATTTCTGTAAAAGCAAATCATGAGCACCTGGTTTCATTTACCAGCCGCGTGAAAGCACTGTTAGTGATCTAGTTCTGGCAACTACATTTTCTAAGATGCATATAATACAGGAATTTAGTGACAACTAACTTATCTGTGCGCTGACCTAGTTTGAGAAACTGAAAATCTTTGAACCCGTTTGAATTTTATACTGTGTGATAAAAATATCTGCTTCTTAGTAATTGATCATATTTGTATTTTTTGATCCAGTTTACTAAAGTTGCCAAGTCAGGTTCCCTTTTGTAGACCCTCTGGTGTGCTGAGGGCTCAGAGATCAGCCAGAATAAATTTTACCACAGGAAACTTTGAAGACCAGTAATTTTTTCCCTCTTCTCGAAAGACAGCAAAGAAGCGTTCTGCATGCGGTTCCTCTCGCAATTTTTTAGTGGCGTTTTTTTCTACATGTAAATCCAGAAAAGATATTAAATTCAAGGTGAGGCAGCCTAATTTTCTAAATATCGATTGTTTTACATACTTTTAAATGGAAAAACGCAACATCAATAACAATATAGCCTTGCGAGAATTACTCTTGTAACGCCCGAATGAATTTGTCTTTCTTATTTCCGACACTCAGCAATCTTTTGGTATTTTTGATCAACGAGAGTGCTAATAGTTGAGTTCTAATGCTCCTATTTACTTTTCCTTTGTAAGCACTTCTTCTTTAGCATGATACCTCAGCTTAAAGATACAGAACTTAAGTAATTATCAGAGGGAATGAAACGTGTCTCTTTTTTTTTAAAGAAGACCTTGTTTTTGCAGAACTACTAACGATCTTCAACCTATCCAAGTCAAATCCAATTCCTTTTTTCTTAGGGTACGAATGCCAAGAAAACTGGATAATTTAAAGCTACAAAACTATTTAACTGGTGTGGAACTAACTTCTCATGCGATCGTGCTTGGTGGACCTTCTGGGATAATCGGGGTTTGTGCACTTAGATGTGCACTTATTCAGCTCCATTTCAACATCTTTGCATTCCTCCAGTTCATCTGTAACTTGGCCCAATTTTCTGGTTGAGATATTTTCCTCTTCGGGGAAGTATTTTCCGATGGTGTGTTTGCATGGCTTATATGAGTACGGCTGGCATCCCTAGATTGGCAGGTACACAAATTAACGACGTTGAGACACAGAAAAAAAGATGAGAACGCTCTTGACGTTTTATAAAAAACCGACACTCCTGAGATAAGTGAGCATGGATGCAAATGCGAATACACTCTCGTACCATTCACATCACACGCATTATTCTCCGTGTAATATAATATATATATAATATATTATAATATATTTAATATTTAATATAATATATATATAATATAATAACAAGATGGAGAAATGGTGCTGGGTCCATACCATTTTGCGGGGAGCACAAATAAATTTTTCGAACTCTAATGCGTACCACTACGAAACTAAGGGGGAAAGTGTAATAATAATATATAAGGTGGAAGAAACCAAGGGTGTCACTACCACGGTGGATGACGTCACAAACCGAATATTTCAAAGCGCGATATCTCGGTTAGTATTGAACATAGAAAGTTGTTGTTTGGACTGATCTTATTATTTTTAGCTGATCTTCAAGAATCAATCATCAAAACACAATTCTGCAACTTGCGCAAGTGACTCATTCAAAAGCTCCACTTACAATGAATGAGTCGTATTCTCCATCGGTTGGCACTCCGTAATCATAGGCCCAGATCCAAGAATCCGGAGCAAAAGACGTCTCATCGCACTTCTCGGCACATCGTAAAAGGAAGTCGGCAGAAAACTCTCTCTTTTCGCCTTTATTCTTGATGCAATATTTGTCCGAGAGGATGGAGGAAATCACAGATGGCTGCAAAAATAAGTTATTCGAGAATTATACATCATCCTATACTGAGTTACCCTGCTTAAACAGCTATTTCTCCAATCTACGTTTTTTGAACTGCGAACTTCAAACCGCCATTTATCCAGCTAGTTTGGTTCGATATTTTTGGAAATTGTTTCTTCTCAAATATTGGTAAAACTTTGCTGTTTTCTGATATCCGTATCAAATGTTAGAGTTTTGGTGCACAACCTCAGTAGCACAAATCGCGATAAATTGCAATTACATGGCAAAGTTATTACTTTATGTCGCAATGTTATGCATGTTGTCCATTCACTAATTGAAGGGGCTTTTCTTAAACACATTATTTCCAATGAAATTTAAATAAGTTGGAATATATTTTCGGCCTTACAAACTGCGTGCCAATTGCACGCATAAAAATACTTTATTGTTCGTTTCAAATCAGCATTTATTGACAGAAATGATGTAAACATGTTGGAATTTCGTAGTAAAGAAAATCGCAATTTTTTCGATATTTTTATCGGTCCCCGTTCCTTGGGAAGGTCTTGGGTACCAGTAGAGGTCACGTTTTGTTTAAACCTACTGTGATGAATTTAACGACTCACTCCATCGGTATTACAAGGGCCTTCATCGGGTGCATGACTAAATTGTTCAGCGCACTTTGGATATTTCGTACGAAGATCAAATTCCTTTGGTACATCCTTCGGCCATTTTGGGTCACTCTTTTTAGAACTGGTAATCATTTTAGCCTTTACTGGTCCAAAGTGCCGCTGTATTTTTTCGGAAAGTGTTCCTGCCTCAGCGATTTTGAGCTAAAAAACGAAAAACAAATATACTTAAAAATCGAGTTCTACTCCTTGTCCATTCTTGTTTCTAATTTTGGGACGCATGGGAGAAAATTATGCAACTCGGTGGCGTGGCGTGCTTTGCGATATATTCATTGATCTGCCATTTAAACCTACGGAAAAGGATCGATAGACAGGATGTTCGCTACGAACACCTTAATAATCGATTCGTTACCATAGCTTCAAATGGGGAAATATCGATAATCGATCTTTCACGCCTCGCCACTGGTGCAACTTGTGATGGTGCAGATAGATTATGGTTTCTCTTATAAGTATCCGATGATAATATGCAATAGGGTGATTCTAATGCGAAAGATATGTATAAAATGATCCATTAAATTAGTCTGTAACTGACAAAAGTCATAAATATTCTCTTCAGAATAGTACTCCTGAACAAGGTGCGTATCAACAAGTATTTTTAACACAGATCACAGATAGGTAACATTATACAATCAAAGTCTCTCGTATTTCGCCTTTCAACGACTGTTAATTGTAAATATTTATATCTTGTTTACCAGTCGGTTTTCACATTTTTTTGTCTGAGATTCAATTTTCTCTGGAAGTTTTGAAGAGGAAACATAATACATGGAGTTTAATTCATATCTTGTCCACAGGCACATTCCATAGAAATAGAGCTGCTCATTGAAAACAAAAATATTAAAAATATGAAGCAATTGCTGCCTTTTATCACATTCTATTGATAAATCAAACTTACCTCTACATTTTGGCCTCTTGAGCGTTGAGGAACGCATTCACTCTCGTGAATGAGGACCAAGCCAAGAAGCACAATCGTCAAAACCCTCAACATTTTGAGATCTTTATCTAAAACAAATATAAATTTCTGTTTTTATGCGAATAGTTAATGACAGTGCACAATCTCCAAAAATTATACATCTGTAATTACGGTGTGTATTATGAGCCAGAATAGCTGTGAAGCATTGTACATTGGCGGATCTGGCAAGTTAGCAATATTTTTTTCTCTCCAATTTAACCTATGGAAAGCTATCGATTATTAGAGAGGCCAGGTGCTCCGACGAGAATCGATTGTTTAACACAGGTTTAAATGGAGATACAACAATGTTGCCAACCTGCTGGATCAGTCTCAACAGCATAAAGTGGTTTTGGTCCACTCAGGGAGAGATATCTATATTAGATTCCTGCCTGGGTCCTCAAATCTGCAAACCTGCTACAGAGAACGCTATTGCTCATAATTTACACCTCTAATTCAAATCATTCTAATTATGAAGACCATACTGATACGCACTCCTTTAATTGATCCTAAAGTATCTAAGAATTTATGATTTTTTTTTTTTATCAGCGAATTTAATTTTATTCCGGTTTTTTCCCCAGAAATTCTAACCATTCAGACTTGCTAGAACTCTCTTAGTTCACGTAATTAATTGTTAAGTAATTTCATTGATTAATTTTTTATGAGATATACCAAAGAAACAACTGAATAATTTAACTTCAAAATTATACTTTTGAAAAAAAAAATGTCGAACGTAAACAGAGCCAAGGAGTTATTGACAGAAAAAAAAGAATCGTGTTTTCCATTTACTGAAGATTTTCTGAGGTGAATAGGGGTTAGACGGACTTCCTGAAGCCCTCTCGCCCCCTTCATATTCCTAATAAAAACGGCCCATAACGGAATCGATTCTTGCGAAAAAGACGGAAGTCCAAAGTATGAGCCGTGGTTTTTCTGGCCAACTGCGGAAGCTGCACGCAGTGGCGAGACGTGAATGATCGATTATCGATATTTCCCTTTTTGAAGCTGTGCCAAAGAATCGACCATGAAGGTGTTTTTAGGTGACTAAAAACCCTGTTTATCGATCCTTTTCCATAGGTTTAAACGGCAGATAATTCGATAAGTGGCAAAGTACGCCCTGCCACTGCCGCTTAGTTAATGAAATTTTGGCCCTTCTCCCTCTTCAATTGAGGCGATTCAACTTGTGTTCGAAAGGACAGTTGGACTACATTTTGCAAAAATAAACTACTATTTTCGACTCATATTAGAAACAACATATCGACGGTGAAACTACCAAACCACGTATCTCGGTTTGCGACGTCGCAGACTTCCTGTCATACTTTATTTTTTAAATGAAAAACTATTTAACGACCAGTCTTGAAAATATCTGTGATTTTTCCTCCTCGTGCGGAGAAAATTCGGTGAAAATTTCAAGGAATGATATTGATCTGGTCTACTTCAAAAAAATAAAATGCGAGCGTAGATTTTTAAACACCGCAAACGAGATACGTGGTTTGGTAGTTTCACCGTCGATATGTAGCTATAATTTATCCTTGCAGGTAGGTGTTTTTGTGGATGAGCCAGAAATAGTAGTCCCTCATTGCAAAATGAAGTCTTGTTCAAGACTCGTTCATAGGGTCCATTTAATCTCTTTCCATGCTTGAAAAAGGGATGATTAGGTGGCAAAATACGTCGCAACTCTGATGTAAGGGCATATCTCAATTTCTACGTGAGCTCTGTTTTAAATATGATTTCATGCTTTCTGGGGCTCATTTTGAAATTGAGATACGCCCTTACGTCAGAGGAGCGACGAATAGAGGGAACGACCTGAAAATCACAAAATTGCGGATTACCATGCGACCCTAAAAATTCTAAAAAAATAAATTTAAAACAGTTGAGGTGCTAAAAAGCAAAAAAGTTGCGCTTACCTTTCTTAACGTCTCGGCGATCAAACCTGAGGTTTGAGAATGATGTGATGCCCCGACGATTGGGCCCACGGGTTTTATACATTTCCCTTTCAGATAGGTTCTTGTCGCAAATCCTGAACATATCGACGCTTCTCTGAAGTGAAGGCAGACCGTGTTGTTCCCGTTACTGAGAGTTTACCAGAGGTCAAGTTTGAATGACCATACGTTCCTCCCTCAGAAGGACGACGATAAAGGACAATCGGCTGGAACCCTCTTAAACTTGAGAAGAGCGCTCGGTCATTTTTGCCACATTCCATTGTTCTATTAGTCACCATTGTCGTGGGTGACCACTCTTATTGTTGATTCTTTTTTAAACTTCAAGTTGTTTTGAAGCACTTGGCTTTGTATTGCATCTCAAAAGTAAAGACCGTTTTATAACACCTCTTGAGACAACAGTATGTGATTCATTTCTAATCAATGTCCAGACTTAAAATACTTTGTTGTGGTAAAGTACCTCGATTCGGCTCTGAAGTCTATAATTGTTTGCTTTGTTCCTAACTACATGAGTTGATTCTAATTTAACTTTAAACTATAGTTCCTGGTAAGGAACACTGCTTAGCTTTGATCGCCTGAAACTTACTCAGGGCGTCCTTAGCGAAATTTGGACGAGGAAACATATTCTTAGCCTGTCTTATGGTACAGTGCCTAATGTTATAAATAAGATATGTAATCAGGCAGAATGTTTATTTGAAAATAGTTGAGTACCATTTTCGAAATTGTTGGATTTAAAGACAAAATATGACAACTATCGATGGATATAATTAATTTTTTCTATCGTAGACTATATTCATCTAAAGTCTAGTGAAGAACATAAACACAACCGAGTAGCACAGATTGCAATTAATTACAATTACACAGTCAACTGATTGTTAATATGCGGGGTGTTGTGAATGTTGTCTATTCACAGATTGAAGGGGCTTTTCTTATTGGAATTTATTGCAATAAACACTCCTAAGAAAAATTGTTGTGTATAAGCTAACTACGTAAAAAATGAGTCCACCTTTTACACTTTTTTAGGAGCAAGTGAACTATACTCACATCATGGTCTTCCGTTTATTTACGTCATTCCGAGCGCAATGGTCAGTTAATGGATTATCTTTATGTACCGCGAGTAAGAACGCCGTATGATCATTCGGGCGTTGCCAAATCTCCCATTTTAAAATGAAATTTTGGTCGGACACTTGTGAATATTTTTATTCCATTCTTTCAGAATATTTGCTTGGCAGTTGAATCCAACGTATCAAAAAATTTCAAGGAAAAACATTCATCGCTAGCCTTAAAAAGAATCTCTTTCTCGAAGGAAATTCGACAATGCTCGAATCTTGATACGGCGTGTTTCCTCAGCGCGGCAGTATTGACGGAGCAATTATCCACCTAATTATGGCAACAGCGGGGCGTGGGGCACGTAATTTTCCCCTCGATTTGATCTGATTTTTCAATTTGGAGGCGCAACCGTCCGATTGAACGCTCATTACACCGTGGCACGACCTTGCAATACGCAGTTGCACACGCTCACCGAGTCAAGAGAGTCGGCCAAATTTCACATTATCCGAGAAAACTGATGCTTTCCCTCCTTACCAAATACTCTCAACGTCAAACGAGTTCTGCCTCCTTGAAAAACTTATGACCATATTTAGAGTACCTATACATATATACATGGAGAGTACAGACATGTCAAAATATGGAGCTCTCAAGACCCAAAAGAGCAGCCAACCTTCTAACACAAAAATGTCACCACCATTCACCAATCTTCAAATTCCAGTATCAAATCAAGATGGCCACGAATGTTCATAAATGAACGTACCTCCACAATAATGAGTGAATTTGTGCAAACACTAAGTCAAACGTGTGCTTTACAAACGGCGGGTCGTGAAAATTATAATAATGAATCCTTCCAGATGAATTGAATTTATAGGTTGGCTGACCTTTTGAGCCCTAAAAGCTCCGTGACCTAGCCTCAAAATTACCGATAATAAGTCCTTACTCTATCCTTATAGCCATATTAATTTTCATTCTTTTAACAGCAGCCCCTCCCTTTCGGGAAACCGAAGTATGTGTTTGGTTTACGTTCTGATTAAAGAAGGCCTAAGGAAGCCTTTAACGTAGCGTAAAAAGGGGAATTCTTTTGGAACTCTGGTTAAAAATGTGAACGATTAATGAGTATTCTGGAATTCTCTTTGGGCCAAACGAAAATTTTCTTCGTCATTCTGATAATCCCACAGCTGGGAATATTCATCATACCATTTTATTTTCACAGGCGGAGATTTTGCGCCAACGATAGTGATTTATGAAGGATTAGAGTAGAAAAATATTGTAGATGCCCAATAGTACTGATAATTTATAGATTGATGAATTGTAATGAATACATGTACTTGTAGATGCCAATTAATGCATATAGGTTTTCAACGAATTTGAGATTACAATTAAGTCTCTTACAATCCGGATCTCTCTCGTCAGCCATGGTTAAGGTTTATCTACAGCTCCGTGAAGTAAGAAACTCCGCGCAGGGGGCGCCACCGCTGTGTTTTGATTTTTTGGTCCACGCTATTAGAGTCCGTACAGCTCCACGTGAGTCCTTGAGCTTTTATGAAAGTTAAAGGAATTTCTGTTTAAATCGAAGAGTCTTAAGTCCTAGCCATAACATTCTTCTTCCTGTTAACACTAAAAACGACGAGAAAAGTAATTCCTGAAGCTCTGAAACTTGATCCCAGAAAAAAGTAGGGTTAATCATGATGACCTTGATGCAACCAATCGGGATTGATCGCTCTCAGTCTCAGCAGTTGCAGATACCTCTCTCCCACCGTGAGCTGTCTCTCTCGTACTTACAGATATCCCGTGAGAGAAACTGGGATCAAGTTATAGCTTTTATTATTAAACTTTCAAAGCTCGCGTTTGTTTTAGGGATTCCAGACTTTTGCTGCTGGAACTTTTGAGTCTTAGAATTTAAAATATCTATTGTGATATTTAAATAATCACTGATTTCGGAGTCGGATTTTAGCAGCGCGACGTGGTGGATTTTTTCGGAACTACAGCTGAAGATTCACCTTGTCCTGCGTTGAGTAATGAGACCTTGAATTTAGAAGAATCGCTTAAGCCTTTTCGAGGAACGAAAAACCAATATCACTAATTACACTGTAAATTTCCGTACTGTAAATACTGAGGTAAACTACTGGAATTTAGACGAGAGCACGTTGGTAAACAAAATATTGGGGGTCGGGCAGGCAAATGATAACGCACTCGTAAGTGAAACCGTACCACCGATGGAACCGATGGCACCGTTGTCACCAATGCCACCCATGGCGGGGCAGGCGTTGTGGCCTGGTTGCATGCTCAAATTTCCGGCCAATTCCGATCAAAATGATGACCAAGATGGCGGTCGAGAGTTATCTAGGTTGATGAGTAAAATTAATTAAAACAGCGTGTTGATTGAAATACACGTAAGCATGAAATAAGCTCGGTTGTGTGAAAATCAGATGAAGGATGAGCCTCACAGTTCCATCATCTACCATCAAATTGTTGCAGGCCGCAGAAATTTGATGGTAGATGGTGCGCACGAGTCACCATTTGATCGGAAATTGATGGAAATTTGAGCGTGTAACCAGCACATTGTGACGGGTCATGCGGCAGATTCGGCGGATACAATCCTTTGTCCACCACAATAGGCGCCAAACCCCACAGTAAACGGATTCCTAACCTCACGGAGTGTTTTCGTGTTTCCATGCTTTCGTGTTTCGTGGCTTCGTGATCTTCGAATAATTTTCTGCGCACCTTTTCGTTCTAAATCGAATATTTTCGCAGTTTTAGTGTGTAACGTGAGTCTTCGTGTGAATTTTGCTTAATCTTGGGCTACAATGAGTGGACCGAATGACGGACTCAAGGTAAAGAAGAGCTTCCTCCGCTCAATCAAACCCTTCCTGGATTTGCCATCAATCTACCCGAGTTTCATCCAAGATATCGGGATTATCGCAGAAGCCCATCGTTTTGAAGTAACCTCATGGGACTCATTTATTAATCTCCTAATTTCGTTTATCCGCCACGAAGATGTTCGAAGTGATGAAGGTGCTCCCTTGCTACCCGTTATCTCATGGTGCCTGGCCAAGGCGAGAGGTCACCAGACTTCAGACAAGGTAAAGGAGAGCTTCCTCCACTCAATCAAACCCTTCCTGGATTTGCCATCAACCTACCCGAGTTTCATCCAGGATATTGGTACTGTCGCAGAAGCCCATCGGTTTGAAGTAACCTCATGGGACTCATTTATTAATCTCCTAATTTCGTTTATCCGCCACGAAGATGTTCGAAGTGATGAAGGCACTCCCTTGCTACCCGTTATCTCATGGTGCCTGGCCAAGGCGAGAGATCACCAGACTTACAGGATCGTCAGGTAAAGAGTGGCAACAATTTTATTGTAAATTATAAACTGTGCAACTACTTGTTAAAATTATCCTATACGGAGCCTAATGAGAGCCGATACCGTTATGAAACCCGGGGTGTCTATTTATGGAACGGAAATTCTGCTTCATTCGGAAAATTTTGCTTCATTCACAAATTTCATTCATAAACAGGGCAATAATAATCTTTAAAAGGGGTCATTTCTTATTAAACAAATAGACACAGGCATCTTAAGTGGCATCTTATACATTTCGCTTTCATCGTAATTTCTTACACATACATTAAGCCGCTTTTATAGCGCAGCCTCGCGCTCTGCGATGCCCAATCGCCATTGCCCCTTGTCTTCCCAGAGACCATCAGGCAGTTGGCACCCTCTGATCTCCTTCTCCACCCCTTGTCGCCAACCTTTCACAGGACGTCCACGCCGCCGCCTTCCGGGAGGAACCCAATCGAAAACCTGCTTGGGCAACCTATCGTCTGCCATCCGTCGCACATGCCCATACCAGACCAACTGCTTGGACCTGATATCGTGCACGATGTCATTCTCGACACCCATTATCTCGCGCACTTTCTTACGAATTAATTGCGAATTTTTCTTTTATTTTCTTACGAGGCATATTTCAGTGCAGCTCAGCCGTGAAATAATCGTCGATGAGGAGCTACATTATTTTGTGTACAAAGAACTACGAATTCCTCCGACGGCTATCTACTTCATGATATAGATGGCAATCCACAAGATATTATACTTAGTCGTTACCGAACATTTTGACAGAAAAACTTTTTTATGTATATTTTATATGTCAAGGTACATATCAGGTTGGAATCGGTTACTAGTGTGGTTTTCCTGTTTCAGTAATTCATCTGCCGTGAGCAGCACCCTTTCAAATAACGAGAGAAATTCAATTTTGCTTTATTCACAAATTTCATTCATAAAAAGGGCAATAATCTTTGAAGGGGTCATTTCTTACTAAACAAATAGACACTGGCATCTAAAGTGGCATCTTATACATTTCGCTTTCATCGTAATTTCTTACGAGGCATATTTAAGTGCAGCTCAGCCGTGAAATAATCGTGGATGAGGAGCTACATTATTTTGTGTACGAAGAACTACGAATTCCTCCGACGGCTATCTACTTTATAATATAGATGGCAATCCACAAGATATTATACTTAGTCGTTACCGAACATTTTGACAGAAAAACTTTTTTATGTGTAGTTATGTATGTATGTACCTGATATGTACCTTGACATATGTCAAGGTACATATCAGGTTGGAATCGGTTTCTGTAGTGTGGTTTTCCTGTTTCAGTAATTCATCTGCCGTGAGCAGCACCCTTTCCAATAACGAAGGTCCTTCGTTATCAGTGTTTTCTCGGAACGAGAAATAATAATCGTGAAATAATCGTGGATGAGGAGCTACATTATTTTGTGGACGAAGATCTACGAATTCCTCCGACGGCTATCTACTTTATAATATAGATGGCAATCCACAAAATATTATACCTAGTCGTTACCGAACATATTGACAGAAAAACTTGTTTATGTATAGTTTATATGTCAAGGTACATATCAGGTTGGAATCAGTTACTGTAGTGTGGTTTTCCTGTTTCAGTAATTCATCTGCCGTGAGCAGCACCCTTCCCAATAACGAGAGTCCTTCGTTATCAGTGTTTTCTCGGAACGAGGTAAAAGAGGGGAACACGTCCGATCTAATCGATCGAACTTCCTCTAAGCCTTTATCATCAGCAACTTTAGATGCAATGAATACTCACGGAACAAAAGGCGGATTGGGACGGCAACGTGGATCTTCGAGGGAAATCTCACCGACGCCATCATTACCGCCCTCATATTCCCGACAGGAATCTCTGACGTCCCCACCTACGGAGGAGCCACTCACCCAGCGGGACCCTCCTCAAACGCAGGTCAGTATCAGTACATAAAATCGCTGCGCTTGCATCCGCCATAACCTTTCCGTTGCTAATGACCAGAGACAAGAGACCCTCCACTGGCCTCCTAGCGACAGGTGGAAGCTTTTACTTTCGGGGTTTCAACAATTCCTTATGGACAATTACTAGGGAGCAACAGTCATCACCCTATCGTTTCGGCTGTTGACTTACCTACATGGTCGATGATGAGCTTCGGATGACGTCATGAGCCAAACAAGTTTTCGAAACGTCGGCGGTTTTCGGCTTGTTTGCAAAACGAAACTGCCAACACGTTGTTGAACATCAACCATGTAGTTAAGTCAACAGTGGAGTGCTGAAGTCCCGAAAGTAAAAGCTTCCACAATGGCCAAGATACTAGTGGGAGGGTCTCTTGTCTCTGCTGATGACTGAACGCTAATCCATTATTTCGATGGTTTCAGCTAACTCTGGAATCTGCACGTGAGCTGATCAGTAGATTTTTGCGTATTCAAAGGAGCCCCTCTCCAGCATCGACTGTTGGGTCCAAACGATTTCGGAAAGAAGATGAGCCGTCAACATCCCACGGTAGCCCGAGTGTTCACCAACTTAAAGGAAAATCACCATTCAATCAACCAAGCCGTCCTCCTGTAGCCGCGCCTGGTGTGTCATCTGGAAAGGTCACCAAAGCCCTGCGTCGAGTCGCACCAAGAGCCCGCCCATCCGGAGCATTACCTCGAGTCTTGGCTGCAGGTCCACCTAAAGCCGCGCCTAAAATCCTAAAAGGCGGGAAGGTGGGATGTAAATCTGCGTTGAAAGGATATTTAGATTACAGTGATTCGGAAAGTTGTTCCGAATGATTCGAAAAATTTCGGCGAAAAAATAGCTTTTTCCGCATCTGAGATGGAAGCTTCAAGTCTCAAAATGTTGAAAACTTAAAGAAATGGACCAAACGTAAGAGGACAAACACACACAATGGAGATGTTGCATGTGTGAGGAATTTGCAATTTGACTGTTGATTCCTTTGTAAAAGTTCGCGAGAAACACACTGGTGCCACTGGTTTTCTCTGAAATCGTCTCCCAAACTCAAAAAAAGCTTTCAAAGTGAGGCAAAAATGGAGGGGATATCCCATCCTACCCTGAGAGTCCACCTCTACATCAAAACACAATCTCTCCATGGAAAGATAGGGAGCAAATACATTGACAGGGCTGCCACTTCATTTGGGAACTCCAAAACTGAAAACACGGCAACCCTGCTAATGTATTTGCTCCCTATCTTTGCACGGAGAGTTTGTTTTGATGTAGAGGTGGACTCTCAGGGTAGGGTGGGATATCCCCTACATTTTGGCCTCACTTTGAGAGTTTTTTTTGAGCTTGAGAGATGATTTCAGAGCAAACCAGTGGCACCATCGTGTTTCTCGCGAACTTTTACACAAGAATGAATGGTCAAATCGCAAATCCCTCACACATGCAACATCTCCATTGCGCGTTCATTGAAATTTTTAAAGTTAACCAATATCCACATAAACCAGGCCCACCGAAACTTTCTGAAGTAAAGCGCTCGTGAAGTGTTAGGATAAAAAATGATTTTAGGAAGAGTCCTGCTAAATGTTTCTGGCAGAGTCTTCAAAGCTCCTCATAACTTGCAGACGGCAACTATTAATCAGCCCTCTTAGCAAAGAAGATTATAAAACTCTGTCTCCCTCGGTTTCGGAAATAAGAAAATCGGCTTTTGTGTTAGAAAATATGGAAATTTGTAGATTAATTTTATCCTAAAGCTAAGTTATCAAGTTCTGGACCATATTACACCAAAAGAGGAGTACATGTTATATTAGTTTTTTTCAATTGATCATGTGCTGACGTAACTCCAGGCATGTGCTATTTCATCAGCTTTCTCCACGCCTACAAGAAACACCTATCATCAAAGTCTAAGACACAACAAGACACTTAAAAAATTGCCGATAAGGCACTTTCACAAGTTATCTTGAGGATTTTTCATTGGCCACGTTAGTTTTGTTTTGGTATCGGGATTAAGAGGAGGGCTGGGTCTCTGCTCATGTCATCACGAAATAAGAAACTTTCTAACCAAGAGTCTATTTCTCTCTGATTTTCCGCAATTCATAGTCCTGGAAAGATGCGACAAGGACGTGGTATTATTGACGGTGACTCTGGTGTATTAGCAATTAACATATTAAGTATGTGAAGTTTCCGTGATTTTAGGAATTACAGGTGTAAAGTTGCTCGGGCCATATTACCAACAAAACATGTTTAAAATTAATACATGAGACCAGAAATTACATTTTACGATTGTACTCTTTACATTTTATATAATGGGTTCAAAATAATCAATAGCTTAATATTTCCAAAAATCCTCAAAATTTACATGAATTTGACTGTTTAATTATTTTTTCCAATGCCGCTAATTTGTGACTATTGAAAAGAAAAGGGATGTCTTCAAATGTCCATTTCTACAGAGAACAATTACACTTTTATGCTTTACACATTTATTCTTTTAAAATCATTTCATTTCAATTAAAAACTTTAAACTCTCGCAAGTTTATTTCTATGATATTGTTTTAAACTATCAGAGAGTTAATTTTATATTTTTGTGCATCGCCAGTAGCACCATAGTCATAAAATACTCCTCAGAGTCATAGTGCAATTTGATCAATTCTTTACTTTTTCGATAGCAAAGCCCCATATTTTCTCGTGCTAAGTCTTCATTTCTTAATTCCTGGATTCAGTAGTTGATTAACTCCAATGTTTGAAAGTCAAATTGAGCCAATAACAATTCAAAGAAACTCAAATTGGCAACATTTATGGAGACTCGAGTTTCCCCAGTCAGTCCGCAATATTTTAAAAACATTTTAAAAATATTTTCATTATTGCTATTAAAATATCCTCTGAAAAATATTGATACAACTTTTTTAAAATAGTTTTAAAAAATATTTTTGAAAAAGTTTTAAATAACATTGCTAAAAAATTTTGAAAATAATTGGAAAATACTTTTAAAAAATAATTTACATAGCAATATTGTAAAAATATTTAATGTAATTATTTGTAAAATGAAAGCATACAAATATTTTTATAATATTGTCACGTAAATAATTTTTAAAAAATATTTTCCAACTATTTTCAAAAATATTTCAAAACTTTTTAAAGTAATATTTTGAAAATATTTTTTTGAAAATATTTTGAAAATAATTCAAAAATATTGTCTGTAAACATTTTTAAAATATTAAAAAAAAGTTTTGAAAATATTATTAAAGTATTTTTTAAAAAATATTTACAAACAATATTTTTGAATTATTTTAAAAATATTTTTTAAAAATATTTTCAAGTCCTCATTTTCAGTTATTATGAGGTGTTATTTACATTAGTGTAAATTTAATGTAAGTACCTATTACGTGAGATCGAAAAAAACAAATAACAGGAACGAGCCGCGCACTGACGCAACGCATGCTATAACAGGCGTGATTTTAACCCGGCCCACCATGAGCTCTCGGTGGCTCAGTGGCTAGAGTGCTCGGCTACCAAACCCGCGGCCCAGGTTCCAGTCCGCACGAGGGCGTCCGGGTGTTTCACGCTCCTAAACGTCGCAGGAATTCAGGTAAGTGGTTTAAAATGTTCAGTACTCGTGTATTTCATGTTTCGAATGTAATAAAATTGCAGTACTATGAAAATAACGAAATTTGCCTGTACTTCCACATCTACTTGACAGAGCGCGCTGAGTATACAGAAGGGAATAGTGTCAATAACCATTGATAGAGCGCGCATGGTATACAAATAGGTAAACATTCCGGTAAAATATTTTCGATAAAATATTTTGAAAATATTTTTAAAATTTTCCTTGAAAATATTTTTAAAATTTTCCTTGGAAATATTTTTAAAATATGTACATGGAGTTAACATGTAGCAATTTTGAAAATATTTTGACAATGTTTTAAAAATAATTACAAAATAATGTCAAAAATGTTTTAAAAATGTTTTAAAAATATTGCGGTGCTGACTGGGTCAGCAAACGTTTTTGAGAATGCTGATATCAATTAAGGGTGCATAATGTAGGAGGAAAAATTGATTAAGAAAAAAGTTATGAAGTTACTGGTTACCGCCTTTATTCAAGACAACGGATGACAGTGATTATGATTGAAACAATTCAAATTAATTTGCAGTTTGAACACTAAAAATTATTTTGTAATTACACCTTGTAATAATTTGCCTCTTTCCATTGCATAGAGGTAAGGGAAAAAGATTTTCTCAACATGTATGCTTAATCAGTATATTTGAAGTATGAACATGGTAATTGATATTGATTGATTATTAACTATACAGAGAAAAATTTTAACACAAAAGATTGGTTAATACAGGAAGTAAAACACATAGTAAAACTAGCCTTTGGTTGACAATTTCAAGAGGAAATGTCATCAAGTTGTTGCAAAGATCAATGTTTTCTCTTCTGAAAAATTGATTACTAAAATGTTGAAACTGCGGTAAAAATTCGGATCTGTATATTTTTACGAAAACTGCAGCATAGACTTGGGTCCCCTCAGAATCTAGAACCTAAAATCAATGCATGCGTATCAGAGTTAAGAAGGATAGCAGCACAGGGTCTACCTAAAATATTTTATCTGTATAAATACTATCATAGCTTTTCTCTCAACATCAAATATTCCAACTTTGCGGTCATCCTTCCTTTCTAGCCTCAGAAACTGAAAGTTTCCTCCATGAAAACCCACCGGTTCTATATGAGACAAACACAGAGACTCGCCCTTCTCATTACTGACAATCAACGCAAATTAAGCCTTACTTGTGGAGTTGTGGCACCTCGCCAAGGCGCCACCCCTCCCATTGAGAATGTCTTAACTCTACCTGTCTATACCCCTGGCCTAATGAAGTAACTGTTTCCTCTAAGAGTTCCCCTTCAGTTCCTCAGGCTCATTTATAAACTCCACGAATGCTTTATACCACGAATCGGCCATTTTGCAGGGGAGGAATTAAACCATCATGAGAAATGTCTCGTCATTAAAAGTTCATCCAAATCTCGTCAGACATATCGGAAATTACATCCCCAAAAGTTTCCCCCTTTTTTCGAGAACCTAGAAATTTCACGGGATTTTGGTTGAAATGAGACCTCGTATGGATGAGCTTCTGTTAAACATAATCGAGTGAATTTAAGCAAAATGAGCCTAACAGCATGTATTTTATGTTGCCTACTTGCTCCTTTAGTCTTATTTATTCATTTATTTATTTGACAGAGAACCATAAAACATAACGCTTTGAAATTTTCTGTACATTTCCTTAGGTCTATGAAGAATACACTCACAACAAATTGACGAAACATAAGAGGAAATCAGGCAGAGTTTGATACAAGTAAAACCGCTTAGTTCAAAACTTAAGTTCAGAATTGCTTCTGGCGGTGAAGAAATGAATAGTTTGAATCTAAAGCATGTGCATAGTCAATTTGCAATGCTTTAAAAGTAAATTTTGAATTTAAGTTAAAACTTTCATCGAAAACTTATTTCATCATGTGGCTCTATTCAAAACATGCATCAATGAAATTTCTGGGAGCCTTAAAAAGGGGCTTTTTTCTTTGTATGGCTCTTTCCAGAATCGATCTACAAATAACTTTGTTTCTTTCTCCTCAGCTAAAATCGAAGATTACTAAATATCATGAAATTAACGTTTTTTATACACGACAGTAGCCTCATTTTCAAGCGTACACTAAAAAAATTGAACAGTTTTTCACTAGAGAAGTGCTACAAACCAGGTTTCACAGTGCTCACGAAGAATTTCATGATACACTTTTCTTTTGTATTTTCGTTGAGTATTATAGCTGCGTAACCTTACGGAATACAACAACAATAAGGAAGATATCGTATACAGGGTGAGCGAAAAGTCCCCGACCCCCCCTCTAACTTTTGAACGAATTGAGCTAGGAAAATGAAACTTTGGGAATGTTCCTATCTCAAAGGGGACCATCTTTTGAGGGGGTCAAAATTTTGGTCCCCCCCTCAGGGGGGGACAGGGGCCCCCCAACTTTTTTTTTTCAAATAGCAACCCCTATCTTGTGATACCTCATTCGAAAGAACATAAAAAACTAAGAATTTTGGCGTAAACCGCAGATCAATATCTCAATTTTTGACCGAGTTATGATAGGTCAAAGGTCAAATTTGACCTATTTTCAAAAAATCATAACTCCGGTTCAAATTATCGTAAAGAAAAAAATAAAACGGAAAAATTTACCAAATTGTGTTCGCTTTTACGTAAAAATTGCAGAAATCACTTCGATTTAATTTTAAGGGGGGCCTCGGACCCCCAAATACGTCAATTCAAAGGTCATTCCATTTTCCCGCGAAATAAGCCAATTTCCTCTGGATTTGCCTCCACATTATCTCAGTAAGGTCAAAATCAGTTCAACATTACGTTGGCAAGTCCCCAAATTTCGGGAAAAGTTAAAAAAAAACGAAATTTAAGGTGATTAAATTTGACCGTTTAAATTTCGTTTTTTTTTAACTTTTCCCGAAATTTGGGGACTTGCCAACGTAATGTTGAACTGATTTTGACCTTACTGAGATAATGTGGAGGCAAATCCAGAGGAAATTGGCTTATTTCGCGGGAAAATGGAATGACCTTTGAATTGACGTATTTGGGGGTCCGAGGCCCCCCTTAAAATTAAATCGAAGTGATTTCTGCAATTTTTACGTAAAAGCGAACACAATTTGGTAAATTTTTCCGTTTTATTTTTTTCTTTACGATAATTTGAACCGGAGTTATGATTTTTTGAAAATAGGTCAAATTTGACCTTTGACCTATCATAACTCGGTCAAAAATTGAGATATTGATCTGCGGTTTACGCCAAAATTCTTAGTTTTTTATGTTCTTTCGAATGAGGTATCACAAGATAGGGGTTGCTATTTGAAAAAAAAAAGTTGGGGGGCCCCTGTCCCCCCCTGAGGGGGGGGAACAAAATTTTGACCCCCTCAAAAGATGGTCCTCTTTGAGATAGGAACATTCCCAAAGTTTCATTTCCCTAGCTCAATTCGTTCAAAAGTTAGAGGGGGGGTCGGGGACTTTTCGCTCACCCTGTAGAGTCTTGTTTCCTACGAACAAAGTATTCTTTTTGACGCAATTTGAGTCAATTTGAGCAAGAGCGTACAAAAAATCAAAACGCCTTCATTTCTTTGCACGCAACGCGGTCAACCCCAGAGCTAAAATAGTCGCATCCCGAGAAAACGTATCTACTACGGCACCAGCTGAAGGCGCCGAGCGCCACTCATCCTCCGTCATCAATGTACGTATTATATTGCAACAATCTCGATTTATCAGTCCTTCAGAGAAATTATTAGGATGCTATCAATGCAAAAATATGACAAGACAGCAAAACTGAGGTCAATTTCACATCTCTGTATGGCTCAATATGAATGCAGTGTGTACATAATGAACTTTACGATTGTAACCCTCCACGGGAAGAATGACCTTGGCACTAAACATAATTCGTAAGTCAATTGGTACTTGACAAAAAAATTAAGGCATTAAGCTTTTGCTTCCAATCAATTTGGCACAAAAATCGCCGAAAACGTTGGGAAAATCGGCGTTATGGTATAGTTTGAATTTTGCAGTTCAAAAACATAATTGTAAAGGAGCGTATTTACGTTCTCAAAATAAATTGTAAGCAGCCCTGGTGCAATTTTACGCTGTCTTTTGGAACTACAGAACTAAGCCGATCAAAAATTATTTTTTAGAGAGCAACTCTCATCAAAAATTAAATGTACTGCTTCGTTTTTTCTAGGTCCCTTCTCCCGTGGACGGTCACAGTCGGTGGCGTGGCGTGCTTTGCGATGTATCGATTGATGTGCCATTAACCCTTTGGAAAAGGATCGATAAACAGGGTTTTTGCAAAGAAGACCTTAATACTCGATTCTTTACCACAGCTTCAAATGGGGAATCGATAATCTATCCTCACACCTCGCCACTGATCACTGGCTGAATTATTGCGTTTATTATTTCCCATAACTTATCCTAATTGGATAGAGTCCAATAAAACGCAGTTACATCTGCATCGTGGTATTTTAGGATCTCACCTCTTATTTTAATTCTTTGGAAAGGAAACCAACCAAAATCTCAACTCGAAAATCTTTTCAATTTTTCTTGCCCAAATGAACATTATTTTCACAAAATTTAAGCGAAAATGTTGGTTGGTTATCCCAAAAAATTTAAAAACGAGTTGAAATTTTGAAACACCTCAATGTAGATGCTACTGGTTTGCTTAACTCTTCCCAAGTGTTGATTTCAACAACCACATGTCCATTTCATCGCTGAAAAATTTTGGCACTATATGATCCACGGCAAGATCTGCTACTTCCACTCCGCAAACCCAAAATTTAAATCATCTTATTTCGAGAACAAAATTACTCTCTCCTTCAACTGATTCAAAGTTCGAATGCCTTCTTTTCCTCCTGTTCCTTGCCCTCCTCTTTATCAAACTCCTCCTCGTGCTCGGACTTTTCGTCATTCCCCTCCGCCTCATCCTCGCCCTTCTCCTCTTCATACCTCTTCCCTTCCTTGAATCTCCCCTTTTTCCCTCCGTGCCCCTCTTTATAGCCCCCTGATTTATGGCCCTCGCGGAACGCGCCCCCTTTTTCAAGCTCCTCGGCCGCCTCGTAGCCGCCTTCCTTCTCGTGTTTCCCGCCCTCGTGGTGTTCGTCGAAGAACGAGTGTTTCCTCGAGAACTCGTCCTTCTTGTGCACCTCGTGTTTGCCCTTCGTCGAGTGTCCTTTCGCGTGTTTTTCCTCGTCGCTGAAGTCTCCGACCTTCTCACCCTTTTCCCCTTTGTGCTTCTCCGCGTAGTAGCCGCCTTCATCCTTGATGTCCTTCTTCTTCCCTCCTTTTTTCACGGCAGCCTCTGTCTCACCCGCCTCGCTCTTATGCAATTTCTCCGCTTCGGCAAATTTGTCGTCGGATTTCACACCCTTCTCCGCCTTCTTTCCTTCCGATTTCTTGTGCCCGGAGTCGTATTTTTCGCCTTCGTTACTCTTCTCAGCCTTTTCTTTCCTTTGACGCAGGCTCGGCTCTGAATTTTTCGAATGTCCAGATTTCGATTTTTGTCGTCCACGCTCGTGCTCAAAATTCACCGGTTTTTCTTTATTCGGGGTAGCGTCGATCAATTTCTCCGCCTCCTCGATTTCTTTGAGATCTTTGTCCGAGAAATCCTCATCGGAGTCAAAATCCGGGATCTTCGACCGGGAAGGGAAGTCGTCGTTCCCGTCGCTGAAATCCGGGGGCTTCGGTATTTTCGGGAACCTCCCGAAATCGGACTTTGGATGTTCCGGAAAACTCTCATCATCAGAATCGAAGCCAGGATTTTTGGAACCGTGCGCCTGTTTTTCTTTCTTCGGAGCGGGATCGATCAATTTCTTTGCCTCCTCGAACTCTTTCAAGTCTTTGTCCGAGAAATCATCGAAAATATCTTTGTCCTCGTTTTGGACGTCTTTTGTTTTGGATTTCGAGGGGAGGCCAGTCTCTCGGTCGTCAGGAAACCCTTTATGTTTTGAATTTTCAAGCCCAGGATTAGGCGTTGGTTTCGCCTGTTTCCGGGACTCTTGGTTCCTTTGAGGGGGTCTCGTCTTTTTCTTCGGTTGATCCCTCACCTTGGGCTCCTCCGGGAAGTCGTCAGGAAAATCTTCGTCGAAACTAGGATTTTTAGCGGGCGCGCGGGTTGACGCGGGTTTCCTTTGGGGTGCATTCGCGTTCACTTTTTTATTCCTCGGCCGAGGGTTCCTTTGAGGCGCGTCAGGAGTCACCGGCTGTTGGCGGTGATTTCCATTCACTGGCCTTTTCTTACTTTTCGCCTCGCCAGAGAATTTGTTCGGAGGGTGTCCATGTCTCTGCGGAGGTCGCCCGTTTCCGTAAGACGGGAAATCACTGGAAGTCGGGAAGTACCCCGCAGTCGATGTCAAAGGTGGAGCGCTGTCCGGGCTCGAGGTCGTGAGATCGTCGAAAACATCGTCCTCGTAGACGACCCCGTTCTCGCGATGGTAGATGATCTCGACGACAGGTGGTCCGGCGTCCGTTGAGGGATTTTTGATAGGAATCGACTCGTAGCTAACCCACGTTTTAGACTTGGGCGTTCCGTAAAACTCGTAAACCGGCCCCGAGCTATGATACGGGGTCGTCGGGCCGTCGTAGTTAGGGCTGGATGATCCGCCATATTGTGGGGCGTAATCGTTAGGTTTCGAGTTATACTGCGAGTTCACCGGGCTCTTAAAATCATGACCGGAGACTGGATTTTGAGGCGGAGGATTTGCTCGCTGCATCGACGGGTAAGGATTCCGACCGTAGCTGGAATTCTGGTTGTAGTGGGGCGCGTAGTTAAAATTCGAATCGGGGGGCGGGCTCGGAGAGGGGTTGAAATTTTGACTCCTGTCGTAATTGTGGAAATTTGTGCGTGGTGGGTAGGGGGGTGTTGTGGGAGGGTGGAAGTTGGAGTAAGTGGGGAGTGAATTGTGGGGGACCACTGTAGTTCTCGGGTACTGTTCTGGCGTGTACCTCGGGTACCCGTTGATGCTGTGGTCAGGGTAGGGTTGGTTATTGTGAGGGTAGGGGCTGGGCTCAGGGTGGAGTCCGTATCTAAGGGCTGCGGAGGCGGGGGAGGGGATTGGAGCCGGCGAATTTTCCGGGATGATGATCTCTGTGATGTCGCCGTAGTCGTAGGTGATGATTTCCCGCACCCCTCCTGCCGGGGGTGGCACTTGAGTTTCGTCGTAGTTGTAGCTTCTTTTGTTGCTTTCCGCCTGCACCAAACCGCCAGAATTCGGCCTGGAATCATTTCTTAGAAAATGATACCGATCAGTGCTGAAATACGTGTTGTTCCTGGTTGGAGTTTCTGACGGTTGAGCTTCACTGCAGTTACCGAGGGTTGTTTCCCAGCACTTTAATTTTTTAAGCTCGGGCAAACCTCGGGTGTCGTTCTGGGGGATTTCAACCACACGAGCTGTGACCTCGGAATTTTCACCCGCGTTCCCACCGTGGTCATTTGTATCAGACCCATTCCCATTGGAGTTCATATGCATCCTGGTTCGATTGACATTAACGTAAGGCTTGTACCCGTTCCAAAAGTTGGGCCCACCTCTGCTCACCCTGGTTTTTCCCCTCGTCCTATTGCCAGCGAGCGCACCGTTGGTCTCATTCCGCACTTTTTCACCGTACCCGATCGTGCCGCGACTCTGGGTTCCGTTCGACCTCGGCGCACTATTCCGCACATTCACTGCTATTTGCGCGGTTTTCGACCGTCTCTGCGTCTCGTTCCTCGGACTCGGAACACCGATCAGACGCGCAGAAGTCACGTTCCCAGTTCGCGCACTTGACACTTTCGCCTCTTTGGTTCCGTTCGCACTTTTGTTTCCGCCGCCGGCACTCACTTCATCCGACGCCGCCCTCTTCAAATCGTTACTCCCGTCGTACGCGGCGTCGTCCACCTCCCCTCCCCACTGAGCACTGCTCCCGCCGTCCGCATTCTCGTCTCCAGGCACCCCATCCCCGGGTACCTCATCCCCCGGGGGGCCTGGCTCCTCACCGTATCCGGTTTCACCCGCGTCGCCGTTTCCATCTGCGTATCCATTTCCGGTTTCACCCGCGTCGCCGTTTCCGTCTCCGTATCCATTTCCGGTTTCACCCGCGTCGCCGTTTCCGTCTGCGTATCCATTTCCGGTTTCACCCGCATCTCCATGATCCTCACCACCGTTGTTCCCGTCGCCACTCACGATTCCACCCGCGTCGCCGAACCCGTTTCCGGTGTCACCCTCTTCGCCATTTCCGGTCTCGCCGAAGCCGTTTCCGGTGTCACTCGCGTCGCCGTTTCCGGTTCCGGGTTCCTCCTCGTCGTCGGTGTACTCGAGATCGTCGTCGTGCGGCGGGGCGAAGGTCTGGGGGCCGAGGTCCTCGGTGTTGCCCCCGAGGTCGATGGGCTCGGCGGTGGAGAGCTCCTCGGCGCGATTCTTCTCGGCGCTGTCCACCGGCTCGACGGCCGTCTCGAAGGGCTCGACGGTGAGGGCGGAGGCCGCCGACGGGGCGCACGCGATCAGGAGAGCCAGCAGGGCCGCGGGCACACTACCCATTTACACGCCGCGCCAGACTGATTCGGATTCGGCCCGATTGAGATATCAGCACGAGCTCGCCCCGCTACCGCTAAGTCACCGTGACCGGGCGCAAGGCACCGTTGTCAAGTCGACGCAGTAGGTTAGGAACGTTCCGAAACAATATACATATCGAAAAAAAATGAAATTGCCGATTTAACAATTTTATGGTTAAAAAAAGTGTCTGATATGTTTCAATGTAGATTTTACGATAAAAAAATGCTGATTCAACTCACCTCGTGGTTAAATTAGCTTTCCACTATTGTGCGACATGTACGTTTGAAACATGTCAGACACTTTTTTTTTAACAATTTAATTGTTAAATTGTTAAATCAGCAATCCATAACTCTCCATGTATTTTGGAGCCTTGCACTTCTATTTTCCTCACTGTGTGAAAGTCACTTTTGGAAGTCAACGTTCAGATTCGAGTTCTGATAACTCATGACCAAAGAGTTGAAACATTGGTTTAACAATCCTGACCTAATTTGCAAAAACTTACCTAAACAGAAAAAGAGGTCGTAGGAGCTAAGTTCCAGTGAAAGGTTGACAACAGGGGGTTTTAAAGGGAATGAGGGAGTGCCATATCCCTGAGGGGCTTCCGGAGGATAGAGAAATTCGGCGGCTAGATATCGCAGAGATCGCAGATCGAGGAAGATCGCTGTAAAATCGGCTTTATGAAGGTAAGTCGCAGGTAAATAGTCAAAGCAGGCATTATGCAAAATGCCTATGCAAAAAGTCAAATATTCTCGCTTGAACTGAAATTCTGATTATTTTTCTGACTTTGGACAAAATAATTCTCTGATCATGTTGAAAAGTATTCTCTTTAAAAGCGTGCTCCATATGATTACAAATACGTTTTCATTAGTTATTTGATGCACTTTTATCTTAGAATATGCAGCATTTCATTTTTAAAAACAAAATTCCTAAATCAGACAGTTGAAGAATTTTTGAACGGGAAGGACGATGAAAGTTTGTGCATTGACGGATTTTTAGTCTCAAAATATTGAAAATTAGAGTTGATAAATTGCCCGATTTGACTATTTGCCTGCGACATGTATAAACTGGTCAAATACAAAATCCTCGATTCATGCACATTGCACATCACATTTCCATCGATGGGATGGTCACAAACAATGTGGAAACTAAGTTTTCTCTGCCTCGCCTGACAACGATATTTTTGGCGGGTGGCGGCTGGCGGGCGCGCACAAAATTAACTGGTTTTTTCACGCCTGCTTTACTTCAATCATAGCTTGCTCACTCAGGCTTCCCCCATCCTGTCCGGGTCCCTCGATCTGCAGCAACGCCACTGACTCTCGTTCATTTGCTGGTTCCCACAGTCAGTAAGTCACCGGTATTTATGGAATTTTCAGACTTTTGGCTCTGAGAAGCTGAGTGACTAAAACCTAATTTGACGATCAACACAAAACGTAGAGTGAAGATACATGAAGTGGAGAGGTCAGTTTGGAGCTATAGTTGTCAATTTTGGGGTTGCGCAGCCAAGTCATACTTAAATAAGGTGTAAGTAACACAAATGAAGATCCCACGTAGTATAGCTAGAGCAAGATGGTATGAGAGGAATGCAAATTTATGCGCTGACCTCAACATTGACTCGTGGAGGACTACATTACTAAATTGTACACCTCTTACGAACCTCGCTTGCACAGGCACCCCAATCCTGAAGCGCTTGCGCTCTTGGAAGGAGACCGGTGCATCAGGAGATTAAAACGTCGCAAGACCCATCAGTTTAGAATCCAGGGGTTTTCAAATTAGGACTGTCCGCAAATTTAATTTGAATCAAAAAGAAATTTCTAATCTGAATTAGATCTGTCCTGTTTTCGTCCTCAATGTACGAAGGCAGTGCCTTATTAGCTAAAATGTGTAAATTGATTGCCAAGTTTTATCTTATAATTTCGAATTAACCCAATCAAAGATGGAATTATCATCTAAAAGTGTTTCTTTTGTACAAATCGTAATTTACGCACAAATAGAAACAAAAATAATTGCAAACTAAAAATCTATATTTTGTATCCAAAGTAATATAATTTAAATGCTTATAAATAATATTTAAATTATTCAAAAATCACTGAAAAAAAAGAATCTTAAATTTACCGCCAAGAAGTATTGTTTCTTAAATCAAGAATTTTGCTGCTTCATAAAACTACTTTTCCGCTAAACCCAAGCCATATTTTCCCTGCATCAAGAAAAATTCAGCTTAAATCAAGATAAAAAAATTCTTTGCGGCAAATTCAAGAATCATCATGCTTGACCCAAGCACATTTTTTTCAGCGATAGTTAAAAAATTAAAATGAATCCTGTCAAACAAACTTGTTTCTCCGTGTACTATCAGGGATGCTTGCCGAAAATTTCCGCTCTTGAATCAAGACACGTAAGGAAACGCGTGCCTCGATTATTGAATCGATATTGAATGATCCTGATCGATAAATCCCTATCTTAGCAATGCCATATGAGGCCTTATATCGACGGTGAAACTACCAAACCACGTATCTCGGTTTGCGACGTCGCAGACTTCCTGTCATACTTTATTTTTTAAATGGAAAACTACTTAACGTCCAGTCTTATAAATTTCTGTGATTTTTCCTCCTCGTGCGGAGAAAATTCTGTGAAAATTTCAAGGAATGATATTGATTTGGTCTCCTTCAAAAAAATAAAATGTGAGCGGAGATTTTTAAACACCGCAAACGAGATACGTGGTTTGGTAGTTTCACCGTCGATATGTAACAATGGCGGATGTGAAAAATTACCTTTTCGAAACACGCTTAAAAAACTGTTTTGTTCACACAAAAATTTAATATGTTTGGCTCTGGCATAATGTACATGATCTCGAAGATCACATCTCAAGTATTTTCTCAAAATTTTCTCGATGCCAAAACGGTTTTTTGAATGTGTTTCGAAAAGGTAATTTTTCACATCCGCCATTGTTACATATGAGTCCTCATATATCGATCAAAGTCTTTCGATATCGATTAATTCCTATCTTAACAATGCTTTTTATTCAAGGTCATTCGATAGCTATAAATCCCTATCTTAGCAATGCTTTATATCGATCTACGTCATTCGATATCTATAAATCCCTATCTTAGCAATGCTTTCTATCGATCAAGGTCATTCCATATCGATAAATCCCTATCTTAGTAATGCTTTTTATCGATCAAGGTAATTCGATATCGATTCACCAATCGATCCGCTGGGGAGGTTACACGATCTGCATGGAAGGCTGCTTTGAATCTAGTGCTTATCAAAGTTGGCATGTGATCGGTTCAGGCGGCGTCTCAGTTGAAAGGCCTGCTTTTCGTCGCGCGATTTGCACGTCTTTCGCTCCCGCCCGAAGGGACAGGTCGGAATTGGCGACTAACAGTTTCCCGACGGGACCGATCGACCCCTTTCTCAACCCTCCTCCCTCGACGCCTTAGCGACGACTTTAATTACTCAGTTATCCATCGCACCCACTTCACTCGTTGCCAAAGTAAATAGAAAAGTTTAGTTGCATGAGGAGGCTACGGGTTGATCCTTGGAGTGGAATCGACTGACCATGGTCGATGAAAATACCTGACTCAGCAATTCTCTCGATCGATCGAATTGAATCGATTAATCGAAATCGATTTAACCATCCATGCGCTTGTCTTGGCCTGAAACCTGTCAGAATAGACGATTCTACACTAGGCCCGAACAAAATGAGTGGCGATTGACTCTCTTTGAGTTTTGTGGAGTAACCAAAGGATATTGATAGTAAAATAGACTATATTCTGTGATTAGACTAAATTTTTAAATTAGAAACTATTATTATTGGCTCAATTTCGAAACAACATAAGTACCATTAGTATCTCGATGCACAAAAGTTTTGCACGGATGAGCTATAAATTGTGATTCCCAATCGCAAAATGTTGTCTAATTAGAAACTGTTATATATGGATCATTTCGAAAACAAATCATGTGCTGTTAGTTTCCCTATGCAGATATAGGTGCCTTGTGGATGAGCGGGATAAAGCAGTCTCTCATTGAAAATAGAGACGAGCTATGTGGATGAGCTACATAAAGTAGTTTTTCGTTGAAAAATGTAGTCAAAACGGCGCAGACATTTAGACATTGAGGAGCATAGTGGACCACTAGACAGTGAATGAATCTGTACATTCTGACATAACATTTCTCATTCAAAATTTCATGCAAAGCACGATTGGCATCACAAAAATTACTGAAATTTTTTCTAAGCAAGATATTAAAGTCGTAATTTAGCACGTATGTCTATGACAAAAAATTTGAATATCTCGCTTACAAGAAAAACCGAAATCTACGCGGATCAATTTGCGTCTTACATGTGTAAACCAAGTGCAGCAGCTGAACCAAAGCACTGACATTAAAATTGCCATATTTTTATTCCGCAGTGACTGTTACCGTAACGTTTAGCGTGAAATTTAGCTAAAGTAGATTGCTTAATAATCTGCGGGAATTTTGAATTAGTGCATCCAAAATCGTTAAATGTTGCTTATAAAAGTTCCTTTCAATAATCTTTGTTACGAAAATCATGTTTTACGTGAAAATATGATAAGAAATCATATACATCAATATACCTGAATTCGCACTTTGTTTGGTGGTATATTTCAAAAAACTTTCGAATATGAGCAGATTAGAATCCTTTTCACACATGGAAAATATAATCTCTGGGTCATTTAAACTAAATGTGATTCCGTCTTTTCTATATCTTCGGCTGTGCTGTTCACGTAGCACTAACACCACTAAAACTAGGACAAACAGAAACAAACACAAAATGGCAATAGAGCAAGGGAAATAAAGCGCGTTGTTGACGGCGCAGAGATACAACTATTCGTACTTGATGGATGTCCGTGTTGCGTCTGGAAAATTGAAGGCGCGATGGCGCGACGTGTGAACACTTAATGTTACACTTTTTCCTGTCAATGAGGTTGTCACTCAGATTCGGGAGAAAAGTTTAGAATATGGCCCGAATACGTCTCTCCTGTCTTTGGCTATTTATTTTTTTTTCTTCTTCTTTTTTGGACGCTCGATTTTTCCCTTCTTTCTGTCTTTTAATTTGATGTCTGATTCTTTTTTACAGTTTATTTGTAGATCTTAATGTATATCTAAAACTCGAATGTACTCGCCTCACACAACCCGCGGGCCACTTTTTACTAGTAAGTCTCGGATCAATTTGACCCAACTTGGGCATCTAGGGTTAAAAACTAAGAGGGAAAAAAAACTCGCGGAAAATTTAACTTCTGCGGTCAAAAATAAGAAAAGAGACCTCATAGTTTAATCAAAATTTTAAAACGAAGAACTTTCCTCTTAAGATGTATAAAAAATTATCAAACGAGCAGATCCATTGTTTTCTAAACAAACTTAGTCCCTATTTTCTGAATATTATTCATTATTCGATGGACGTGCGGGTTACAAAGGTCAACACCTGACCCCAATGGTCGTACTTCATAGCATACTTCATAGACTACGATGCATATTTGAAGAGAGGAGGGCATTTTGGCGTGTTTTAGCCCTGCAGTGATTCTCTCATCACACATGAGCCACTGATGAGTGATGACATCTTCAGATGAAGATGAGACATAAATGCAGGTGGGAAAGACCTTGATCTTTCTGCATAATGAAGATCTTAATGTCTGTTGACCAGTTGCACCACATTTTACAGTTATGAACTATAAATTCTGGCTCTGTTTAGGAACAACGTATGTGAACAACGTATGTACCATTAGTTTTCCTATACAAATACGTGTTTTTACGTGTTGCAAAATGAAATCCAGTTAATCAATGATTCTCTTGATATTTAAATAGCTCGGTTCATGAATTAAGGAGTAATGACAATAACGTAAGTAATAGCAACAATTTCGAACAAATGTGGCAACGCTACAGTGAGGAAAAACGCGAAATATTCCTGAGGCGCCGTATTGAGTAACATCTATTGTACGTTCTCTTGAATCTTGAGTTGGCGAGCGGAGAAAAGCCTTGGTGAAATTAACCGAAATATATTATCGAACGCATGTGAAAACACAGTATGTCACGCGTTTCCGTTCGGGAATTCCACGGTGTGCTATTGGGTCAGGACATTTAATTACAAAGCAGATGCAGTGAGCTTCGGTGATAATGTGCAAAAGTCTGTATTATTTTCTGGGAGTATGCTTTTCTGGTCGTTTCATTTTGAGAAAATTTGTACCTAAGCCACGAGGAGTTTGGTAGAATTGAATCATCCTGCGTGTTTTTCAGACAGTTCTTCCTTTTTTCATGGAAGCAATTGCGTTTGAATTCTCACACGACTTTTTTAGGCATGGAGAACACTTTTTCATCCACTAAAATTGTCGGAGCATCCTCCAAGATGCAAAGGAAAAGATTATGTTCACAACACTAAAACATGTGAATTTTCAAAATTTTTGAGAAAAAATAGACTAATGTATATAATCAGCGGCTAACCAGCAGCTTTGCTGAATTTTCGTAGTTTCTCCCTGATTTTGTTTTCCTTTTTTCCCCAAAAGTTCATTGTTGCTTCTGAAGAAAAGGCTCAATGAGGAGAAATAATGAACACCGAATTCATAAATTATATACTTTACTTTTAAAATCAAAAAGTAAGACGAAAACAACATAAAAACTAGGTCCTAACCGTTTCGAAAAACTATGTACACGTTTCGAGTTTCGATTCTCCACAAGGAACACAAGGTATGCGGAAATATTTCTCATTTCAATTTGCAAATGACATATCTGCATTATTCATTTGTTTAAAAAAAGAAAAAAGAAATAGAAAACTCATCACAACCACCGTGAGGTTCCAATAACAGATCCAAAAATGGAAGTTGCGTATTTACAAGATCACGATATCATAAATATAAAAGTCTTAGAACAAAAATGCAGAAAACTTAACAAAATGTTGTATCACATAGCAATGCACAAGATTAAACGCAAGAATCGCCGCACATTTGAACAACATTTTGCGATAAGGAACCACTAATTCTGCTTTTGTTTAGAAACAACACATGTGCCATAATTTTCCCTATGCAAATAGGTGCTTCTACGGATAAGCCAGAAATAGTAGTTCCTCATTGCAAAATGTATAGTTCAGTTTCAGATACAATTTAATACTTTCTGCAAATCGATCATACTAATTACTTCCACGTAATAAAACGTCGCACTTATTTTTCCGGCTGAAAACGTGCGGCAATTTTAATCAAGCGTGTAAAATGACCCACAATTTGATGTGCCAACTTAGCGCTTGGTTGAACCAGAATCTAAGGGTAAGAAAAGTAACTTTACAAGCGTCTAAACAATTTTACTGAACATAACTCCCCTCCACTTTTCCTAAACATTTTCTTCAATTGCGGTATTCTTGATAACTGACTAGCGACAGTCAATTATAAAAAGGTTCTTTTGTTTACCCTCGTAAAGACAGAAACACAGCCCTAGTGTGAATAAGGTATGAAAAATATTTAAAAATAGAAAATGCAACATCAGGCACAGCCTTACAAAAATATCAGGTAACATATTTCAAGACCATTATAGGTTGGAAGCTAATCCTTCAAATGGTAACTTTTAGATTTGACGCAATTTTAGACTTGAATCAATGACATAGTCATGAGCTCTGGACTAGAGTACCCAGATGGGAAGAGTGCAGACATGTCGAAATTGGAACGCTTAGAGCCCAAAAGGGCAGGCAACCCTCTAACACGAAAACACCAGAAAATTGCTGCTGCCAATCTTCAGATCCCAATACCACACCAAGATGACCAAGAATTTACATAAATAAGTATCCGTGAAAATTAGTAAATTTGTGCAAAAACTAAGTCAAATACGTGTTTTGCAAACGACGGGTCTTATTAATGGTAATAAAAAATTCTGGATAGTTACCTTACAAAAGTTGGCTGCCCTTTTTGGCCCTAAAAGCTCCATGACCTAACCTCAAAATTACAGACATGTTCGCACTCTCCCCATATACACTGAAAACAAAGTTACGGGCTATAGACATACTGTTTATTCCAGGTTCAGAGGCCGAAAGTCCCGGGTGCTGGAGCCGTAGGTTCGACTGCTCCGGCTACTACGCCCGGTATTTTCGGCTTCTGAGCCCGGAACGCAGACGGTATGTCTATTTGGCCCGTAAGTACAGCTTCCATGGCCGGTTTTTTTTTCCTTCAGTGTAGGCGTTCTACTCCAAACTATTTTCCATGCCGGAATTTGTTCTTCTAGGTGTGTTGGAACGAGGTCTACCTCAAGGCCCAGAGCTTGAGGCGAAGGAGCATGTAAGCTGCGAAGCGCATGGCGAGGAGCGTGCCGACGAGGGCGGTGATGTCGAAGCCGAAGCGATCACCGGAGAGGGAGATCTCGGTGAGTAGTTTCTTGGGCTTGCGGTAGTGGCAGTAGAAGTCCGGGCAGTCGAGGTTCTCCCGGTTCATGCCGTAGATGGCGGCGACGTAGGCCTCGAGGGCGTAGCGGAGGTACGAGACCTCGGCGCCCCAGCGGAGGTGCCGCGGGATGTCCTTCACCGACACCCCGAAGCCCGAGAACATCATCGCCGGCACCACGAACGTAGGGCCCACGAACGTCCCGTTCTGAAACACAAAAGAAGCCGTCTCGTTAAGCCCATAGCATTTCTAGATTCCGAGCTTCACCCGGAGACAAAAGCCCTGGAAAGACGATCAAATTCCGAACCAATTCCGATCAAAGTAGACATGCTGATGACTGGTGGTCACCATCTACCATCAAATTTTGACGAGCCGCACTTTTTTGTTCAAAGTAAGATCAGAACGGAGTGCCACCATTCATCATTTCCTGCCACAGGAAACATTTCTGCCAAGTTTTCATTTTAAAATTAAGCAAATTAATGAGTTTGAGACTGATGACTCCCGACACTTTGATGCTACTTTGATCGGAATTGGTTCGGGAATTTGATCGTCTATCCAGGGCTAAAGAGAGACCCACCACCAGCTGGTATTTTGCGGCGATGGTGAAAGTTTTTACGTCCGGGACTCCAAAGTTCAGCTTTTGACCCACCCACGAAACGATGTGTAACGACGAGTTGAGCATTTCGTTTTGGATCGTTGGGTAGCGCGCCTACACAGATAACAGCTGAGCGCCTCTCTAATACGAACGTGTTACGCCGGAATCACGCGCTGAATTTGGCGGCTGAATACGGAAGTCGACAGTCATTGCTCACCGGCTGAAATTTCGCAAATTCAAGTCATTTTCATCCAGATTCGTATCAAATCTATTCGAAATGCTCGGACAAATCCGACATTATCCGATGGTCGCTGAGACTTGTTGCTGAATTTTGAGCGTGTCGCGCAAAATTCAGGTATTGGGTCGATGACTTCCACATTCAAGCCACATTCAGATTCCACATTTAACGTGCGATTCCGGCTTTAGAACGTTCCCGCTTATTTACTTTATTCTTCAAATATTGCGAAATTTTAGCACTTTTTCAGAGCTTCCGGACCGCTCTTAAAAAAATCAGTACTATTTCCGGACTTAGAGACACCCTGGTTTAAGAGGAACTAAAAAGAGGTAGGGGTTGTTGGATGATGCGGACATTTCCCATTTTTATGGTAGTAACCCAACTAATTGTGGTAGAACCCTGATAAATTTGGGTGGCAATCCAGCTAGCGAGGGTTATGGCGGTTTGGCGTCTAAAAATGTGTATTTTTATCCCTTTTTTTTGTGCAATGATGCTTTAACTCAATTTTACAATGTTTGACGACGAATTCTTTTTTCTATTGGACGACCGCAAATTATAACGATAGATAACACATTATCCTCAACTTTTGAAGCGGCAGTTGTTTTGCCCTCAATGCTCAACAAATAATCTACAACATGGAATCAGAGAGGAACAAATACTCACAACGACACTGAAGATTGAGCCAACTATGAAGCCAATGCTCTGCGCAATGTAGACAGTGAGGAGGCTGGCGCCGGTAAACATGAGAAACCGCCGCGTCTCTAGCGGCTGCCCGGTCATGAAGTACATGATTGCGGAAAATATGATACACCCCAGAGACTGGAAAAAAATTCAGAGAAGAGAATTAGTTGTTGTTCCAGCCCTTTGGGAGGCGGGCCGAGCCTCCAATTTCCACAATCCGTAAAAAAATCACTCCAGCGTCGTCTCGCCGTCTCGGCAGATATTTGGAAGGTGACCTTGAACCTTGGCCGGCACAGGGTCTCCTCCGAAGAAAAGCGTTAAATATTTACAACACTGAAATTCCGGAACAGTGTTAGCAGTATTTGTCCACAAATCTTTAATGCATTTCTGTAATATACTCCAAGGCCAAGGTTATTACGAAGTCACTCATTAGGGGCGTGTTCACACGAGCGTGGTTTGAAAAACTTCGGGTGAACTTGTTCCAGGAACTTGTTATAACTTACCTATAACTTGATACTCGAGCCCCCCGGTTTGTGGAATTCATTTGCTCGTACTGCACTCGTGTGGACAAGGCCGTTTTCTTCGTAATACAACATTTTTGGGGGGAAAATTGAAAAGTCTGTGATGAGGTTAGGGTATTTATTCTCTGGACGGCAGTGCTAGCCTTCATCGTCCGCCGTCCAATGATGGAAAATGAAACCGTATTTTTCTGATTTAAATTTTATGAAATTCCAATAGATCCTACTTTAGGAGAACCGAAATTTCAGACATAGTCGCAGAATTGTGATTAGATAATTTCAGATTATAAATCAGCAAAAAATATAATGAAAGCGTCCAAACGCAACAACTATGCGTCCAATATCAAAGGAGATATACCGCCTTCAAATATTTTAAAGCTCCAATCAAAATTAAGTCACGTCCGCTCAGAAAAAATTGCATTTTGACACAGAAAATGCAATGGTACAATATTCTCCGCATCACTAGAGCGCTTTATTCTTTATGGATGTACGAGGATACAACTATTCGTGCTCCAGGGATATGCGTGTTGCAATCGCGCGAAATTGAAGGCGTTTTAGTGTCGTTAATCGCAACGCCTGGATGCAAATACTCGTGCTCTAGAAATGTGCGTGTGGCATGCACATAAAAATACAGGCATTTTTGGTTCCATAATCGCAATGCCTAACTTCAGTTTTCTACCTCGATTAATATAGATTCTTTTACAAACATTAAAATAAACTAAACCCAATATAAAAAAGAGCAAAGGTACTTACAGCAACCGGTAAGTCGATTATGTTCACTGACAGGAAATAAGCCTTGAACGAATACCACCTATTGAAGTGCTCTTTTAAAAATATCGACATCTCCATTGGAACTGGAAAATGAGAACAAAAATCTTTTCAGAAACAAAAATTGTGTGGGCGTGTTTTGAATTTAAAAAATTTCGCATCGACTGAATGTAAAAGTAGGGAAGATTTTTTGTTTTCTCTCTCCCCCCCACCTCTCCCTCCTCCTCTGCGTGCATAGTATACTGATCAATCAGATTACGATAAAATAATATAATCACCTCAATCCTCCAGTGAAAACAGTGGAAATAAGCCACTGACGTTCAGTTGAATTTTAAAAAAAAAAATCATATCATGAGAAAGAAATCAAATGAAACTGGATATCAAAATGAATGGTTACGACTATATCAACCACCATTTAATAAATTCATCCAATTATGAATATTGGTAATTCTTATGACTGACTATCTTAATATTTTGATCATCACAACAGCTGCAGAATTTTTGTCTAAAGTTATTATAATACCAGGTCTGTAGGTATTGCTCATCTACCATCGAACTACATCAGTGTAACGAAAAGGTCAGATCGATCTGTAGATACAAATAACTTCATGATACGAGTCAATCTGATGTCAGACTACGGATCGATTGTTAAAATCGTTATCGAATGAACTTTATCGATAAATCCCTACCATAGCAATGATATTATATCCATCAAAGTCTTCGAAAAACGGAGGAATAATCGACTTGCACTGATCTATTGGAAGTAACTCGGACATAGGAGGATGGAGATGTTAGCGATGCAATCAGAGTGTTCGGCATAGACATTTAATTGATTCAGATTGCTTCAGACTGAACCATTTTTACTAGGGTTTAGGAAATTCTGGTTTTCTGGAGGTCAAAAAGCAAAATTTTGTCCAAATGTCAAGAATCAGGAAAACTTTCAAATTGATGATTTCAACCGTAGTCAACCAAACTGCATTTATATGGATACTTACAAGTGAGAATGTTCAGCATCATCGATGAGAAGACGTGGTGGATCAGGATTGAAAACAGCAAATTATAGTTATCTAACACTTTGGAGCCATCGTCTCCGGCATTGATGTATATAGATCCTAACATTAATGCTACTATCACATTTACAATAAGTCGCATATAGGTCAGCGTCTGAAACACAACACAACATTAGTTACATCAGTGCCGCAAAATGGACATTTGTGACCTTTTAAGGGAAAAAAAATCTCAGTGTAGTAAACTCAAAATTTATATGGTGGCACCGAGTCTTAAAGAGGTATTTTACGAACATTTTGGCATGAAAAATGCTGAAGAATGTTAAACTGGACTTACAAAGTTTTGGAATTTGGACTTTAAAAATTATAGTGTTATGTATCAACGGCCAAAGTAGAACAATAAGGGCAAACGTAATCTTTTTGGGTAACGGTTGTCGTTCAAGGCAGGAATGGTCGTTGAGGGCGACAGGGGTCGTTAAGGGCAAAAGTGGCCGATGAGGGCAACAGTGGTCGTAAAGGCATTTAGAAATCGATGTCATCGAATTTTTTAATCTGCCTTATCTAAGTCACAAAATTTTTCGAGCATTCCGCACGATGATTTTACTACCATTTTTTTAATAGATAAGCTTGCAAATGAGCGAACATATTCTCAACTGATGCTCAGAATCCTCTGGAGATTATTTTCTGAAACATTTAAATGCAGATATTCCATAGAAGGTTCTGTTTTTAAAATTCAAAATATTTTCCATAATTTTAAATTTTCGATAGGAGAAAATTCACGACCATGCATTTGAGCTCAAAGCTGCATGTATGCCCCGCGAGCTGATTTCTTTTTCGAAAAAGCGACTCGGTGCGCTCCTATTGAACTTGTTTCTGCTAGAGAGAAGTATGTGCACAAGGTTTGCTTTTAACAGTTCTTTCACAATGAAAAATGTAACTCGAGGTCTGTTTGATAGAATGCAAAATCCCGCTTTTCCAATTCTTCAAAAGGAACCACGTCCACTTTTACATTGCTTCTTATGCAGCTTCGACGAGCACACCCCATATTTCTCACCTCCACATAGGTCTGTTTGGTAGAAATACGTCCAATTGAGATTGTAATCCTTTTTTTTTCAGTGGCTCGGCATAAATACGCCCTCGTAAACTCGTTGAAAATGGGCCCTAGACGGCAACACAAAATGCGAAGGAGGTAGTGGTAGTGGGGTATTTGAGTAAATGAATGAAAGCATTACCGAGTCACGTTTAATTTTAATACAGCCGCGTCGGAGTAAGACGCCGAGTTGGTAGCAGAATGAGGTATCCTGCATTCCACGCTTCCTTTTGCAGCATAGCAAACCTCCTCCGTTCCTCCTGTCGTCTGCAACAATCCAATCACAAACTCCATTACACTTCGCAAAAATAATCATTGCATCTCAATGAAGCTGTGTCACGCACATCCATAAGATGACACCCGTAAATCTTGATTTTTGACATTTTTTAAGTGTCAAAAGTATTTTAAGCATTCCATGGTGGGTCTGTTGCACTCGAGAGATTCACCCAACCGAGTACAGTCTGTAGAGCGGTCCGAACTTAAACGCGAATAATTTCAAAATCGATTTTTGGATCCAAATAAGACTTTTTTTGGGTCCTGTGAAGTTGCCTCCAGAAATCCCCGCCTTCAGAGTTACATCCCCTCAAAATTTCCAAAAATAGTTCTTCCCCCCCCTTCACCCCCATTAACCCTCTTAGAATTTTAGTTATACCTGAAAATACATGAAAATTGGCACAATTTAACGCGCTAAACGCAATTCTGGTCTCAGTAAAACCGAAATAATATTTTAGAGGGGTTTTGCGGGAACGGCTGTAACTCTGGAGGAGGGATACCTGGCAGAACTTTATAGAGCAAAATACGCTCATTAAAAATTGATTCTGANGCCAATGACAGTCATTCCAAGAGCTTTAGGAACTGTTGATTTAATGAACCGCACCTGACGTTAACTCAACAGTCGTGCGATGATGGAATAACATACAGAATGTTATTTCAAAAGCATCAATAAGATGTTGAGCTAACAGATTTGCATACTTTTGTTTCAACATACTTAAAATGTTCAATTAGCAGTCACGACAAGTAAAAGAACAGAGAAACGTCAAACAAATTTAACATTCAATGTGACTGTTAAAATGACAGTTCTTTTTTTTCCGTGTATTTTAGAGGGGTTTTGCGGGAACGGCTGTAACTCTGGAGGAGGGATACCTGGCAGAACATTATAGAGCAAAATACGCTCGTTAAAAATTGCTTCTGAAAATATTTGAGTTCAATTTTTTGAGACTCTATATAGGGAGCATTCACTTAAAAATCACGGTGAGTATCACATAAAAAAGTCTAAAATCCCACCCTTGATGCACAAGATGCGTAATTAGTATCGCACTTTTTTCGTACGTCCTAAAATGGAAATATTGTATTGACAACACCCTCTTGTGTTTATTTACACGTATATTTATGTTCTTGATTTGACCTTTGAAGCAACGAATCATGACTCCTGGAAACAAATAAGGTTTGCAAGCTGGAACACACCATTTGTACCTTAAGAAAAGAGGTGCAAATGAACACACCAGTATGTTCAATTTTTGTCGGTGATAAAGATTTTCAATGTACGTAGGAAAAGTCGGTCAAACTGAAACCTTGAGAAAATGTAATTGTGTCACTTCAAGATTTGTATACAATCTTTCATGTTTTTTTACGGGCGACTCCAAATGATCAAGTTACAGAATATTCCTCTAGAAGCATTATGGCTAAGACTTAGCAGCCCCGTGCTGAGGAAAAACGGTGTATGAAAAATCCGACGACACCAAATTTCCTCAGATAATAAATTCAGTTTTGAGAACAATTATGAGGATTATCTCTTGAAAATTTCAGAAATTTTAGATCATTGTAGAAATTAAAGTCTCTAAAATTTTGGAAGAAAAATATTCGCAAGTGTCTCAGGAAATCTGCATTTTATCGAGAGCAATTTGACAACGTCTGAAGGCTCATACGGCGTTTTTTCTTAGCACGGCAGGATAAGCGGGCGCGTTAACGCGGCAGGTAAACCCGCAGACCAGCATAAAGAGCAGATTAACATTTCCGAGAAGCCTCATTATTTTTTATCGTCCGGCGTACACTGTGTTGCTGCCGCCGCCCCCACCTCATCTTTCACCCTAGTCATTTCTCTACCCCACGATTCAATTTAAGGACCGCTTGACGTCACTAACGCAATAAGGGGTTGCAAAGATTCGCATCAACTCGAAAAGCGAAGCAAAATCCGCGTGGCGTGGGTCGGATTCATAATATGCATTAAAAATTACTGGCAACTGCATAGAGTATTTTAAAAGTTACATTTTTTAAATTCATTCCTTAACGCGCTGCTTTCATAGTCCTTATCGTGCATTTCCAAAAAGCATGTCTCGCGACGAAGCCTTTTTTTAAAGGGCAAATTCAGGGATTCCGTTCAAACGTTACCTGAAAGGAAATCTTATGATGAGACGTTCTTCGACTAATATTCATAGCGTTTAATGGAAAGGTTCGTTTTGACAATACAACGTTGCAAAATTAAACATTTTTACCATTGAAAAATATTAGTACTCTGAAGTTCCTTGGTTGTGAAAACGAATTTATTTGATATTTTCCCGTTTTCTGAGGCACAGCAACAGTAACGGATGACACTGTGCCTCAGAGAACAAAAATATCTCAAATGAAGTTGTTTTTTAAAATAAGAATCCTCAAAATACTGGCATTTTTTAATGGTAAAAAAATCAAACTTCGCAGCACTCTATTCCTTAAACGGGTATTGAAAATTGAATACAAGTTATGTAACTTTCACTGGAGGATTGTTTTATCATAGGGTTCAGTTTATCAGCATCCCTTAGTTTCCCAAAAAAGAGGCACAAAAAGGCCTTCTTTTGACAGGCTCTATACCACCACAGTGAGCGTTTATACTCAGTCGCTCGCGATTACTTTCGCCTGGAGAGAGACAAGAGAAAACATAACGAATAATCCACAATCCTATTATAAACTGTTGCAAATCTTATTTATGTATATTTTCTGGCGTTTGTTTTCTCCTAATTTTGTTTTGTTTTTGTCGCGTTGTGATAAAAAAAATAATTTAAAGTGATCCAATTCATACCAAGTACAAATTATAACGACGATGAAACTTCCAAACCAAGTATCTCGTTTTCGGTGTTTTAAAATATCCGCTCCTGTTTTATTTTTTCAAAGGAGAATAAATCAACACTAGCTGCTTCAGCTCGCTACGCTCGCTTGCGCCGCTAGCCGGGGGCAAGCCCCCTGGACCCCCAGTTACTCGCTCCGCGAGTAACTGTTGGCTCGCTTCGCGAGCGAAATTTTGCTACTACCAGTGCTTAGAGGACTTCCTGGAGGCAAAATGATAAATTCAAAAACAAAGAATAGGAAACTATAAATTACCTACTTTCAGAAAAAGAAACAACCTTGAAAAATAAATAACACTCCTGGAAAAGAAAATCAGAACACTTTTTGAAAATGTAACGGTGCGAAAGGGTGAAGATAAATCACCAATTCTCTTGGAAGAAGACTTGAGCCGACCCCCGACATGAGTGAAACTGCCGTAGGACCCATGCTAGGGTAGAAGGGTGACACGTGTTGTGAGCAGGTAGGGATGGGTTTACGTGGAGAGGGAAACGGAAAATCAGAGGGTGGGAG